TGCAAATTCCTCTTCGCCCCTTCCCGTGGAACCGAAATCAATCACTAAAAAAAAATTCAAAAGACGGAAAAAAATAAGTTTTCCTCTCCATCTCGTCATCATGTCCGAGGAAACTCGCAGCAGGATAAAAAAGGGCAAATTTTCTAAATAATAATCGTTTGCCAACTGACCTCGGTAATGGTTCTGCATGGCGCCGTCATTGCGCATGATGTCAGACAGGCAGTGATCCAGACTCGCCATGTTGTCCAGGCCCGTGGCGTTGCCCGGCCCGCCGGTTCCTGGCGCCGATCCCATCAGCCCACGGTCCGTCTAAAATGTCGTCATGGAAAGAAAAAAAGATATATAAAAAATTATTTTAAAAAATCAGAATACGTGTCGATTGGCAGAATTATTCACAATGAAGGTCGACGGGTGGAGAATTCCATATACACGATTCATCCAAGGAGTACAGTATTTACTCGAGTAAGACCCGCATCGGAGTTCTTCATTCGAAGGTTTTTTGTTATAATCATACTCCCGAGTAAAACTCAAACTTCACTTTTACGGACTCGAAACCCACAATAATTCAAAAATGACAACACCCAACTTTGAATTCAGTCATACATTTGACTTATTTTAAACTTTTTTTCCATAACAATTTCTTCTATTTCAACTTGGTCAAACATTTCCCATTACAATCAAGTACGAAGTCCTTCTGAATTTCTAAGACTTTTTGAACTTCTAGAAAATTTGCGGAGACGAAGAAAATTCAGAGGACGCAAGTCTTGAAAAAACCAACATTAGAAACGAGGATAAATTTCTGCGGAGCTTCTCACGAAACAATGCAACGAAATATGTTTATTGTTCGTTTTCTTTCTCAGCACATGAATCAACAAACTAAGGGAAAATCTGACGCGAGAAAACGACTAAAACGCAGTCGAAAAATCAACAAACTGAAACTGTAAGTCTGTAACCGTTCTAGAAATCTCAAAATAACCGTAACGACAAGACAAATCACCATGATCTAAGATTTGATAAATAACCGTACCTTGGAATTCATGACGAGCACTATTTTGTCACTGTCACCGAAGGTTACAGAAAAAAGAGCTGCGGATATGATGAATCGTCAGAATTTAAAAAAAGGAATACCAATATAAACTTGTCAAGATTTTCAACTGCGATGGATTCAATCATTTGGCAACACGACAAGAAACGATTATACAACAATTATAATCACTTGGAAAGTACTGTGTTCGATAAAACTTTTCGACAGGTTACAAGACACGCCTTCAACTTTTTGCACTTCAGAAGACAGTAGATTTCATACTCGTGACAGGAATGCTGAAGTTATTCGACAGCTAATCTGGAAACCCATTAGTGTCATCGAGGTCTTCACTTGGTGTGATCATTTTTCTCTGCCCTCGGTTTTCAAATGTTAATATGATAGTAGACACGCTTGCTGAAGAAAAATGGCGAAGAACCTTTCTTTGTTCACAGGATCCCGTTTCACCGCATTCTTATCCTACTCGTCATAAAAATGCTGATGCTGAATTACTTCATTTGTCACTCTACAGCTGAAATGGCTAAGATTTGTTCATAATACGCTATTTTCGACGCTCCCTTTTCTTTCAGAAAAGTTTCGTCGTGAAAAGGAATAACTTCATAAATAAAATTGAACAACGTCCCTTGATTATATTCAACTTCGGGGGGAAAAAAATCAGATCCTACAGAAAACAGTGAATATCGGTGACGACCGTTTTTTCAAGACAGTTTCAATGGATACCGTGTGCCTCATATTGATAAAACAATTGACTTACGCTTACACAATACAACTCGTCCTAAAAATAAGACGTTTCTTACATGTAAAAACATGTTGTATTTTATTGATGAGCTTTTCCTTCTTTAAAACTTTAAAAAGCGCGGAATTTCTTTTTTTTTTTAGAAGTTTTAAAGATGGCCAAGCGTTTTAAATCACTTTCTTACATTCACCAACATTTCCCCCGACTGTATTCTATTCATCTATCGCATTTGCTGTTTTTGTTTTTAAACAGCAAATGTGGCGATTTGAATCCTGATGAACGAATACTAGTCCAAAAAGTTAACCAGAACTAAGAACCCAAACACCGGAAACACACTGTCCCACCATAGAATCCAATTCACAGCAGTTACTCCAGGAGTACACAATTCCGCGAAAGAAAACTCAAATTGAGCATTGCAGTTTGCATAAACAAACAAAAACGTAAGATAAACACTTTATGATGAAGAAATCCTCGAAAGAAATCTAAATGAGGACAGAGAAAAAAAAAACGTCTTTCGGAGCGAGCAAGCAGCTGCAAAAGCAGCATAGTAGTAGTAGCGCGGGATCTCGGCCCGGCCCGACCCGACACGACTGTGCCAAAAATCGGCGAAGAAACCCCTCGTTACACACAACACGACACAACCCAACCCAACCCAACCGTGCTGCCTTCCCCCCACCCCCTACACTCATCTCTGTCCTCGGGCTTTCTCATCGATCGCCGGCCCAGCTGGGCAGTGAAAGCCAAGCAGGCGTCGCGACCCGACTACATCTTCCCCCCCACCCTGCTGCCAGATAGGACCCCCGAAAACGCCAACGGGGGTTTACAACTTGCTGCAACCCCCCTTCCAGCACCTCCCCACTTCCGCGTGTCTCTCCCTCTCTCTCGAGAAAAATAAATAAATATTCTTATCCGGGCCCCACGCGCAGCCCGGCCGACGGCAACCGGTCTGGGGTTGGGTTCCGGAGAGGAGGAAAACTTGGGAACCCGCAAGGGTGGCGGAATTTCGGTCAACCCCTGGCCCCGTTCTGCAGCATTAGGGCAGCAGTTCCAGGGCTGGCTGTGAAATCGACGGCATCGTTTCCCAGTCCGGGGGGTTCCAACCTTTCCTTTTCTTTTCTTTCATTTTTATGGGTCGCACCACTGACTTGGCAGCAGTTGACAAACCTCCCTCTTGGGTATCTACCCAAGTCCACGTAGGTGGACTCGGTATAGTACTGTACCTTGCTTTCTTTTCTAGAACAACGCTTTTCTGGAGAACTACTGAAGTTTATAATCAGGATTCGGCAGACTATAAATGAATTAGCAAACCCTCTAAATTAAAAAATAATAATGTCACTTCTTTAGGTTTGTGACAAATGCGAACTCAAGCTCAGATTCATGCCAAGCTTACAAAATACAGTACAACGAAGAACATCACGATGAAATGCGTATGTTACTGTGCCTCGTTCGAGCCCAGTCTGTAAAAAAAAAAAAAAAATATTGTTTTTAGTTCAGATTTATCACTTGATATTTTACACTTTTCTACGGAATTTCCCGTGAGTGGATTTTGACTATGAAGCGAATTAATTGCAAATCAAGAATTAGCCGGAGTTTTATTGCTGATTTTCACTTGATTTCGGAGTTAAAATCACGGAACTCGATGAGAAATATTACCGTTTATGATATTCTGTTTTAAATATTTTGATGGACACGCCCAACATAAACGCAAATCGATTTCAATGGCTGTAGGAAAATCACTTCAAATTCAAGTTGGTTTAAACTTGTACACGGGAGTTTCCGTAGACTAATGACCTCGTATCAACATGAAGCACGTTAAGCTTATGGACTCCACATGTTCGTCCTATAGGTGGAGTAAAAGAAAAATAAGCATTTCATTTTCTGTTCTTGGAATTTTTCCAAATGTCGGAATGTCGAAACATGTTCAGATCAGAGGGAATATCGTTGATATAAAATCATGCCTTCGCTTAAAATTTCTTCCCAACTTCCAAAAATATCTTTACGTGAACAAAAAAAAATAGATACATTCGTAAAATGTTCCCTTATTTTGGTATGGTGACATGATCATTTAAGCTGAGGCATTCCTACATGAAGTCAAATATACAGTATCAATTCGTAGTTTGGCTTACAACCGTATTTCCCTCGTGGAAATTATGCTTGTTAGAACCCCCAATATCGAAGAATTTAAATTTATGCGAAAACCACGATGATGGTTTGCGGCCTGAAAAATGGCTCTGTGCTGATGAAACACGGTTTCCGTCTCGCTTCTCAAAAAATTAAAAATAATCCGGAATAATGACGGAAAAATGTACAAAGCTATTCATCCGCGATTAAAGAAACTAGTATTTACCCAAGGGCTGTAACAGACGGATTTAATCCTAATGTTTTTCGTTGTTTCCAAGAATAAAATCCCATGAACATCCGTGCAGCTCTCTACATTCGTCACAAACCTCAAACGAACTGACTTCATTCCATTCTCCACGTCGTTCACCACTGGCAATTTCTTCAACATGACTTTCTCATCGCCCTGATCACGCGTTTCTCGAACACATTACATTCAATCCACTTTTCAACTCATGTGCGAATGAAATTATCTTAATATCATATTATGTAGGGTTGGTTAGGTTGTAGTGTATGGTAGGGTAGGTTGGGCTGCAGCATAGGGTAGGGTAGTTTGCTTGGTAGGGTGTGTTTTAGTGTTTATTAGTATGCTGTATTTTCAAGTTTTAGGATTTTAGTTATTTTACCAACCATTGCCCAGGTGCGGGTGGACAATGGTTGGTAGTGTAAGGTAGGGTAGTCTGTTGGGTATTGTATGTTGTAGTGTAGGTTAGGGTACATTAGTTTGTTTGGTATTTTTTAGTTTCAGATTTTTTGTTATTTTACCAACCATTGCCCAGGTGTGGCTGAACAATGGTTGGTAGTGTAGTGTAGTCTGTTCGGTATTGTATGTTGTGTAGAGTAGGGTACATCAGTTTGTTTGTAAAATAACTAGAATCCTAAAATTAAAAAATACTCAACAATAGGCCAGGTCTGGCTGGGCACAATCAGCTAGTTAATTATAAATTTTTAACTAGCGGTACTCGGGTGAATGCCGGCTTCTTAATGAAAAACGGGCTTGATAAACATGGAAGAACTTCCCAGGGTCTCTCGAGCGGAAATACTAATCTTCAATCTTGGACAGACAGATAAAACGTACAGCACAATACGGTACTGTACTGTACTTGACACCGCCCACGCGTTTCGAAAACTCAAAACTGTCACGTCCTGAAAATGGGCACTGCAAGCAATCCACAAAAACAACAACTAAACTGTCGACAAGCCCTGACCTACATTTGCGCCACGTATTCCCCCCCAATAGTCTTGGATTATAGAAAAACGAAACAAAAGCGCAAGGGGGAGATTTCGAAGCAGCTCTCGTCGCACTGGCAACCAGAGTTCGCGCCTCCCTCCAGCCGCGTCCATCAAACCCAGTCTTATTGATCCCGCGACCCCGCCAAGGAATGGGGGTGGGGGGGGGGGGAACTCTCGCAAGGAATAACCCAGAGAAGGCATGAAGAGAAACCTCCTCGGCCGACGCCGAAACCCCGCAACAGCCGCTGCCTTCTTCCTCTTCTTCTTCTTCGTCGTCGCCTCGCCACCACCCTCCGGACCAAATGCCTCCCAGCTCAAGCCGGTGCTGTGGGCGACCGCGTCACTAGAACACCACCTTCCCAAGTTCAACGACAGATGGCGAATAATTACACCCTAGACTTTTCTAATGTATATACGTGATTCAGCTGATATTCAACGCAAATACAGGTGGCCTAACTTCAAAGAAATTCAAGGGACCAGAGAAAAAATGCGTCGTAGAGAACCCCTATGATACTGGTAGAGAACCCCCGAAAATTCGTCATGAAGAGGGTCCACCTTCATTTTGGACTAAGTACTCCAGGGGAAGAAGATAAAAAATAGGCCGCAAGAGTAAAACGTAGAATAGAACCAAAACTGATAAAAACAAATAAAAAGCTACATTTTGAGTATTTGAGAAACGATTTCAGTGGAATAATGATGCGGACCACAAAATATTTTGAGAATTCTTTTTCGGAAAAGGTTAGGAAGTTCGTACGCATTCATTAAAATCCTGAAGTGACTGGGGGGGGGGGGGGGGAAAGGGACATAAGCCCCAAGAAAATTATTCTGAAAGTCAGATGAACTCATCAGTCAAATGTACCATAAAATTGCGAACTGCTGATAAATTAACTACTGTCCACGATTGACAGTCACATTCACCATCTATTTCACACAGTACTGTAAAATAAACCCTTCAAATTTGAGATTCAAGGCACAATGTTCGGGTATATTTTTCCCACATCCAAACTTTAAAAGCCAATTTAGGGGAATATTACTGACTAAACAGAATGCGAAAATTTTTTGGGGGGGAAATCCACAGAGCACTGAAATTTCTACGAATACCATTTCAAAGAAGAAAAAAACCGCGAAAGTAATGAGTACAGTAAGACCAACAAATTGGCTAACTGCAATGTCTCGGTGGAGTACATATAGCCCAAAACCAAATTTTGATAAGGTTTCCGAGAGGGAAGTACCAAAAATACACTTCGACCGCCGATTCGTCTGGAAAACTTTTGCAGAGATCAAAAATACACGACCACACTCAATTAATGCCGCTGACAAAAAAAAATGCACCTCACGAAGTTGACATTTACGACTAGAATAATTCTTGATATAATTTCAGATACACATTGTAGATTCATTGCACTGAATATTCGTATCCCCAATATCGAAATGGCAGCCTAAGGCATCAAAACTAAGGGATTAGCGTCAAGAAAACATTCAGATTTTTAGAAATTTAGTTTTAGATGGCCCAGAACCGTGAATCTGAACTCATACCATGACTAAAACAGAATTTCATCCATAACTATTTCTATTAAATAAGTTCAAGACTAAATAATCGTCCACCACTTCAGTTGAAAAACCAACACAGAAAATCAAAGCTTTCAATTTCTTCCGTCAAATTCAATAATTCATCACTCGGAGCCACAAAAAATAAAAAATTAACCCGTTTTACATCCCAGGGAATGTCACGGCATTTCTCGACAAAATAGATTCAGAAAACTCAAAAATTTAAATGTAAAAAAAGAGAAAAATCCGGCAAGCCAGACAGCATCAAGCGAGAAAAACTGCGAAAACACCTCGAGGACTTCCAAGAAACACATTCGGTATTGCGACGCAGAAATTCAAATCAGCGGCTGAATATTTTCCCAAACCCGTTCCAGAAACTCGGATCAAGCTCCGACACATGGATATCGACAGCAGATGGCAAGAAACTCAATCATCATATTCAAATTTCCAAATTTGCATTCATTCCTTTGAAAAGCAGGTTTACGTATTCATTAAACGTCACCCGCTTCTGCCCACGTCGTTTTCATTCCGAAACGCGCCTTCACGCTCAGAAAATGTATCGAATCTCGAAGATTGATCGCGAACAAAACACAGAAAACTGATGAGAAGTGGACCGAAATAACTTGCAATAAATTCGCACCTCTATTTTTTTTTTCTTCGCTGAAGTGATGCGAACGAGGGAAGCAGGCATATGACAAGCGAGGTCATACAACGCTCGAATACGTTCATGAAGGATGTCGCTGAACCGGAAATGTACATAAGATAGTATCTTTACGAGGTTAAGTGACGAAAACAAACAGTTGAATCATGAATAATTCGAAGAGTCAATATGACTACGAATTACCAACGCACCGCTGATGTCAACATAAGCTCATTACAAAAATTGACATCTTCGGCTTTTTAAAGCACGAACACGCCACAATAAAAACGTTGAAACATCGTCACAAAAGTTGTTTCATCTTCAAATATTTTCAAGGTTCTTTCCTATCCATCGGAAAATCGCAAGATTAAAAAAACCGAACCGAATGAAGCGGAAGAAAATCCGAATATAAATTGAACAGGGCTTAAAATATACCGAATGCGAACATTTTCACAAATTGCATCCGTATTACATGAATAAATCAGCACAAAACATGAAGACCAACATACAGTAATGAGATTCTTCCACAAAAAAAAAAAACAACTCACATGATGTAAAATGCAAAAAATACATGATCATCTCCGCATCTCATTTCGAAATAACGCCAGAAAAACATATCAAATATACGAGGCACATGAAAAGCCGATTTTCGATCTAACAATATTAAGATCAAGAACAATTCCAAAGCTCTAAATAGCATACTTCAAGGTTGAACCTAGGATTCATGAACTCATACAGCAATACCTGTAGTAGCAGATGAGAAATCAGCGAGAAAAGAGCAAGCCTACGAGAGTATACATTTACACAAAATAACCAGGATTGTAACTTATTGTTTAGCGTTATGTACCTTAAAACTTCTACGCTTCGTCTGCTCTTACATAAGTACCTCACATTTTCCATTATATATAATTTAGAAGTTGATCAGATCGAAATGCTAGATTGACTTACTCCTGAAAAAAAAAATTAAATGTTTTTTACGTGTTATACTGTAGTACAGTTGAGCCTCGCTTAGTCGAACCTCCTCAAGTCGAATACCTCCCTAACTCGATTTTTTTTTTCAAGTCCCTGTCTGGATTCCCATAGAAACAATACATTAAAATCCTCCCTAACTCAAAGTATTCTTCTCTATAACCTCTTCAAGTCGAATTTTCTGAGGCCTTTTGGTTATCAATTCCTTGAAATATGAAAGAGAAAAATCAAAAAAATCAACAAAACAAATTATTTTAGGCATTTTGAAATGAAGTGAAAGACTAATTGAACAATTGAATCCCTGCCTACAATTTCAGCAAGTTGTAAACTCATTAAGAAGCAAGTTTAGGCCCAAAATATCCTCATCTACAATTTCCCATTTCCCTTGCAGCAAAAATATTCGGTTCCTTCACTCAAAACTTCCCTAAGTCGAATTTTTCTCCTGGTCCCTAGAAATTCAACTTGGAGAGGTTCAACTAGTAAATTTCTTGAGGCGTAATTCGACTACTGTATTTTTATACTACCGCATACCAAATTACTCGACGTTCGAAGATATCACGAAAAAAAATGAGCAAGAAGATGAGACGTCACACAAGGCTCATCAACAAAATGGAAGGAAAGTCCCCCAACCTCCCTTTCTTCTCACTACAAAAAGCTCATTACAGAAATGCGCACAGAGAGACTGTTAGTGACCAACCGAGAGGGGAAACACGAAGACTTGCTTGAAAGTCTAGGAATTTGATCCCAAAAATATCAGATTCCGAGAAAAACTAGGCGATGACGCAGAAGAAAATAAGATGTTTTTCGTTTCGATATTTTCAGTACATCGAAGCATATAAATGATTTCCAACGATCCCCTGAAAAATATTTCCAAATATTCCCATGCGATGATCCTGAACGAGTCGGCGGCAATATTTTCAACAAAGCTTCAGGTGTTATCAAGCATCCTTTTCAGTTCAGTCACTTTCTCGTCAGCTGCCACACTAAGCACATCGTGGGTAAAATCGTAAGAAACTAACCATCGTGGGTAAGATCGATGCTAAAATCATTTCCACCCAAAATTTCGTAGCCTTCTTTTAAAAAACAGTTTGCCAAAAACTGAAAGCATACGCCACTTTCTGTCCAAATCCCCCCCAAACAATCAGTTAAAGTCTTGAAAATCACCCTTTTTCCCCACGAGTCGGAAAAAAAATTTCGATCAGAAATGAAATCATAAAAACGATCAATACAATTTGATTGCCTCGATGCAGCGAAACCCCGTTTTCGGGGCAACTCGCAAGATCTTTCAACGATCCCTCGCGCATGCAACTTCGTGGCAATGCTGGTCAACAACCCCCCCACCCACATCAAGATAGACACATGAACCCCCACCGCAATTCCATCTCGGCGAAGAGTGCCCACATTTTCCGCGATATGACCCCAACGCTTCTATTTTTCCTCCTTACAACAGCGCCCGCAATGGACACCCATTTGCAACCGCGTCCACTTCCGGACTGGGATGCTTCCGCATGTTCCGTCTTTTTGACCGGAAATAGCCAAGGAGAGAATACGGTACACGAGGGAAGTCAAACCTTTCCTTCTTTAATTGTATTTCTCTTTTCTTGTAATTTTGTAAGCACGGACATGGCATCCATTTCACCCAGGGTGAAAAGAAATGGTTTGAGTTTACAAGAGTTGAAATCCAGTACCAAAATAGCCGAGTACTTCACGTTGCTTGAGAAAACCTTGTTACCTCACGATGCCACTTGAAATTAGACCTAGGTACGCAAAAAAAATTCTCAACTGTCCAAAATAATGAATTACAGTGAGACCCCATGATGCGGACGTGATTGATGCATAAAGAGTGTCCCTAAGTCAAGTTATTCTCCCTTAGACTTATAAATACCATAATTCCATGAAAATAAAACTTTTCGTCAAATTTGAACTGTTTCAATCAATATATTTCAACACTATGTGGACATTTGGGGAATTGAATATGGATACCTCTGTACAGTACATAGAAATGTTGGCATTCTCTGTAAAAATAACATTCAAGTAAAAAAGAGAGAAGGAAGTCCCTCTATGCTGGTGCGTGTTCCGTAGGAGGACAGCAATACTCGTGACAACGCACAGTTTATGGAAAACCCCTTTTGGAAAGGGAAGCTAGAGAGAAGGAAGTCCCTCTATGCTGGAGGTAGTTTTTTTTTCATCAGCTAAATGGATGGTAAATTGGTGAAAGAAATGCCCAAGAACTTTTCTCACATCAATTTTAGGGTTGGAAATATCCGTTTCTTGTAATTCGGCCTGAAATGTATTTGCAATTTTGTACTGTGTAAAACTGTATTAAATTACAGTACAGCTTGTTAGAACGAAAAATTTTCCATCGGTACTGTCCTCGAATACGAAAAAACCATCAGAATTTTTAAAAATTATTTTGCGACTCAAGGGAATTTCCATTCCCGCATATTTCAGCGAAAAACATTCGTGCAGTGTATTCGAATAATTTAATTATCAGAACTCAATAAGTAAAAGCAGTTTCGTCCTTCGCAAATCAGCACAGCCGAAAAATATCATACTTCACAGTATTCAATTCAGCGGTATAAAAAGTTAAACTTTCATGGCACACTACACATGCAAACTTCAAATATTTTCCAGAAGAAAATGATTCATTCTGGTCTTGCAAAAACCAACAGAGAATGCCTACACAAGATAATTTTCAAATCCCATCAACTTTTTCCCCCTCGGCCTCATGGTAAAGAGAATCGATCTGTATACTCGTATAAATCAAACGCAATTTATGAAACTGCAAGGTATCGTTTGATTTATGACCACACTCATAAATCTCGCGTAATTCTTGCTCGAGAACACTCGGAAGTCGGCAATTGAATTCGTTATGAAACATGAGCCTATATCAGTACTTGGCGTAATTTGATTTCCCGAGTCAAACAAATGAAATTTTACGATAAAAGCATAAAAACATTACGAAAAATCATAGATATATTGTACTGTACTGTATAAGCTAAAATTTCTTTTACATTTTACGTCAACAAATAAAACTGCTCTCTTCGCATCAGAAATCGAGCGTAAATTCGAAAAAAGACCGGCATTATTTCTCAAAATCAGAAGAACTTCGTCGCAAGAAAATCGATTCCTTGCAATAAAGTATTGCGCAGGTGTTCCACTTGAAATACACTTGGAAGTCGTTCTTTCAAAAATGAAGAAAAAAATTCGCGTCAATGCTTCGGCGAAAAGAGATGCTCCTGCTGCTATCTCTGAAAAACAAAAGTATTGAATCCTCGAGAGGCCACTTCTTTTCCTCGCAGTTCAGAGGCTTGAAAACCCCTTGGCTCACAAATGGGTCAACCCCGGGCACGACCGAATGCCCCCATGTAATACAGTGGCACACACGCATCAATCTCGACTAGAAGTACGCAGTTTGGGTCAACCAACGAAGCAGAGAACTGCCATCGTATTGCTCATCACGGAAGACTCCTCACGGTGGAAAATCTTCATGAAAAAACATAGGTCAAGTATATTATGATCTCGTTAAGATATTTTTGGTTCCTCGAGCATGTAGGATTGAAATTCAATGAGATTCAATGGAACACATAACTGCTATGAAAGTTTCTTCCACAACAGAAATGTGAAGAATTGTCATCAACTAAAACTTATTTTGATAAATTTTAAAAATGTAATCTAAGTTTAAAATGTACAGTTATGCAATCCTCTCCCTTCATACTTTCCCTTAAAATTTCTGAATTACTGTACTGTACACTAATCCAACTGAACAATAAGCTGAAACAATCAGAAAATACTGCACATGTGTAAGAGAATAAATTCATTAACAACTGTATGTTCCCTGAATTAAAGCAATAGAGCCTTTAAATAGAGCAGTATCTTTTCAAACGTAAATTTCTTGGAAATTGTATTACATGAAGCCTGTTGAATTTTGACTAGAGCTTCAGACTTTTAGCAATGCTAGAATTTTCTGTACAAAACATCAGCATTCAGATTTTTTGAGCTTCTTCAAATGCACCAACTGGGGTTTCCCACATTGTGACAATTAGTGAAAATTTTTTTTAGCCCATGTAGAGGCAGAGATGTGTTACAGGTAAACGTCAATAAGTTGACTCCCTCAGTCGAATTCCTCCCTAAGTCTAATTTTTTTTTCAAATTCCTGTCTGAATTCCCTCAGAATCAATACATTAAAAGCCTCCCTAACTCAAAGTCTTTTTTCTCTAAAACCTCTGTAAGTCGAATCTTTTGAGTCCTTCTGGTTATCATTTCCTTGAAATATGGAAGAGAAAATGATTAAAACAAATCATTTTACGCATCTTGAATCGAAGTGAAAGACTAATTTAACGAATGAACCCCTGCCTCCAAGTTCAGCATGGTGTAAACTCAAAAGGGACCAAGTTTAGGCCTAGATTATCCTCATTTATTATTTCCCACACTTTTTTCATTTCTCCTCACAAATGTTTGTTTCCTCAACTGGAAACCTCTGAAAATCAAAACCTCACTAAGTCGAATTTTTTTCCTGGTCCCTAGAATTTCGACTTAGAGGTTCAACTGCTATTTTGAAAATAGAGATAAAAATTAGTTTGTCAAAACTTTAAAACAAAATTTGTATGGCACTGTCCCAGAAGAGATTCGTTGTAACCGGATATTACTGTACACGGGGCTTCGCTACCCGATTTATTTTGCAAAAAATACTCTATCTATTCCAGAAAGGGCTCCATACATGGGAAAAGTTTCATGGAATTGCGGAAGGGAGATTATTCGTACACAGCAGGGCTGCCCATAATATGGTCAGCAGAGTCTTCCGGTGCGGCCCACCGAGGCCTTCCCGCTACCCACCCGAACTTAAATCTTCACGAACAGTACTCCCAAGGATAATATGCGGATAATTCCAGCTCCCATAACTTCCACGATTGAGAAAAATGGGAGGGGAATACCTCAATGAATCATTAAACTCGGAGTGCGTCTCAGCTAATCCAGTATATCAGATTTTCCGACAATTCACGGTTTACGCATTTCAAAGAAAGCCGTCATTTGGCTCCCCGTGAGCACGCTAAATAGCCGGTAGGAAACGTTTACGAAACCATGATGAAATATCAAGAACAAACTCGTTAAAAGAATTTATATTTCTTGAAAAAATGTTACTGAACTTCGAAAACGAGAAGATTGAAAACCAATCCTCGAACAATCGAGCAAAAGCGATAAAAGCATACACAACCGGTTAAGTTTCCATCAACCGTTCATTCATACTACAGTATTTTCGAATCGTCGTCTTTCAATACAGATATTCTCAACGATTGTGGTTGGGATAAACATTCGAAAAAGAAAAAAAAAACATTGACGGGAAGAACATTTCCTCAAAGCTACAATACTGCATCGTGAAAATTAAAGCCCTGAAAATTCGGTTTTGTCTTGAATGCAAACATCGCCTATTTGGAGCTATACTCAGCTTCAACGATAGCGTAAAATAGAGAAAAAAATCTCATTACAGCACAACGAAGCCATGGGACGAAGGGAAAAAAGCTTCGTTTCAACATAAAATTCGTTAAGAATGAATTCGAACAAAATTCGGCTACTCGGAAGCGAATTTTTTGTCGGCAATAATTCTTCATAACGAGATTCGCTGTAACAAGAATCTTTAGGATTGTATGAGAAAGTTGATCATCTCACACTTCAGCCCGATCCGTTGGAAATTTCAAATTCGACGAAAGTTATCATGCACAATTCAAAAGGCATCGCTATCAACCTTCAACGTGAACCGAAATTCAGATTATAGCTTTCATAGTCACAGAAAGCATCTTTTAAAAACGGGCCCAGGATCTTCCAAGTAATGAAACTCCTTCACTCTTTGTTGATTTCGACAGTTCACTCAGACTTTCCCAAGCGAAAGAAATTATTAGCGATCTGGATAAGGACTGCATGAAGGGGAAGTGCCAGTGGGTACCAAGTACCAACTAGGGTTTACATCATCTGAGATAAACAGTACACGTAAACTCTATAGAAAGGGAGAATAATGATGCTCTTCTGTTGATGGCTTACCCTGGTACAGTATACACAGCAGGAGGAAGAGGAGAAGGAGAAAACTGAGCGTGTGGTGGAAACAAATCGTGGGGGAATGGGGAACGACACAAAACGAACAGGGGAAGAGAGAAAAAATAAAATAAAAAGCAAAACACGCAGAAACAATCTTCTTTTACCTGATACGATGGCCATTTGGTGGAGTTCTGGACGACGGCAGCAGCAGCGGCAGCATACGGGGCCATGCCGGCCGTGGACGCAGGGATGCCGGGTGGCGTGGAATACTTGCCCCGGGCCGCAGCAGCCAACGCATACGAATTCTGCGTCATGGGCGACGACGGACTCATGCTCGGCATGGCCCGACCTCGCTGCTGCTGCTGCAAATGCGCCTGGTTCCAAATCGGCAGGCCCAAATGTGGCCCGCCCGGCGGCGACCACGTGGATTGCTGTTGCATCGCCGGCCATGGATTATACGCCACGGCCTTGGACGGCGACAACAGACCGCCGCCGGGACTCGGGCTGCCCGGCGCAATGTTGGACGTGGGCGTCTGTCGACGCTGTGCGGCGCCGTTGGCATAGCCCATGCTCATGTACGCCGTCGGACTCACGCTGTAGCCGCCATTCACTAAGTACTCGTCGCCCCACTCGGGATACATGACCGTGCCGGGCATCATGGTCGGCATGACGCCCACCGACGTCGGGGGCATTGGCGCCGTCTCCGCCACAGAACCGTCCCCACCGCCGCCACCGCCCAGACCAGTCGACTCGTCCCGTCGCTCCGACTCGGCGTCAGAGGCGCAGTCGTCGTGGCGCTGCTCGGACTCTGGCTCGGCCGCATTCTGCTTGGCGGCCGCATTCGGGGACACCTGGGCCGAGGAGGCGGCCGACGACGCCGACAGCGCCACGTCCCCATAGCGCAACTCCTCCGGGCCCGGCCCGGGGCTCGACGTGGTCAGGCTCGGCATCTCGCACACTTCCGCCGTCTTCTCGTCGCCTTCGGAGCTTCTCCGGTCAAACACTTAAACAAACAGCCTCTCACACACCCTCGATCGCTTCGCCGTCCAAAATGACGGAAACAAAAAACAGATCAAAAGTATATAAAAAAGGTTCACTCTGCAACAAATGATGGAAAAAGTAACGAGTCAGTCATTGGTACCTCAGCTCTACAGTACCTCACACACTCAAATTGAAATCCTCGTTGAAAATTTCTTGAATTAAACCATCAAAAGACTCAGATTCTCACAACTTAATGAACAAAATAATATCCCAAATTTCAGAGGACCAGGGAAAAGCGTTAGCTTTATACTATTGCTCCTCAAAGGTCCATTCTGAATTGTTCAATCCAATTAAAATTATCTGGCAACAGGCTGGGCGCCTTGCGCTTTAATTTGTGATAATTGACTTGTGTTGTGATCTTTGCCATTCTTAGAATAAATATAGCAATTCATAATGTATGAATTTGTACGCACAATGACATTGACTTACGGATGTTTTGAATTGAGGTACAATACAAAGCCCTCTTGTCCTGGGAAAAATGGAAAAATTGCTCAAAATTGTAATTTGTGATATTCTGAGGCTGAAATTACTTCTTAAATGAGTTGAAAGCATCCTGAACTTGGAGGCAGGGTTCATTTTCCCAATCAAGTCTCTCACCTCCTTTTAAAACAAATCAATTTCTGTTTTTATTGCTTTTTTCTTTCTTGTGTCATGAAAATAAAAGCCAACAGGCCACAGAAAATTCACTTTTGGAGGTTTGAGAGAAAAAGCTGTTGACTTAAGGAGGTTTTAAATGCATTAATTCCAATGGAATTCAGACAGGACCTGAAAAAATTCGACTTAGAGGGGTATTTGACTTAGGGGGTATTTGACTTAGGGAGGTTTGAGTTATTGAGGTTCACCTGTACCATGCAAAGCAAATTATTTTCAAAAGGCTGCATGTGTTGAATGGATGAGTAGAAAGATGTGGGAAATTTTTTGAGCCCTAAAAATCCGAACAAGCAGCAAAAGAAGTTTATAGTGCACATCAATAAAAAAAACCAAAGCACCATAATTAGTCCAGCAGATGAATAATCACGTAAAACTGGCTGGAGGATACCATTACGAATTAACTAGGCCTTGTTGGTCGATGTTTTCCATCTTCGACGGAAATGAATCCCTCAACATCGCGTTGTAATTTCAGTTACAAACCACATTCTACGCAATACCAAAAATTAAATCCGCATTATTCAACAAAAAAATGAATACCTTTCAAGAGACGTCATTTCAAGCGTCGTTAGGACGAATACCTTCAGTTGAATTATAATTCACGCGGATGTCAGATTCAACGCGTCATTACGTTAACAATGAAGTTAATGTCGCTCAAACTCTGAAAAGCTATACGAGTAAAGCATAATTCAAATGCAGGACTAATTTAGCGCATTCATTCAAGGAACGGCTAATTCAATTTGGTCAACTGCGCCAAAACAAAGACGAAGGAATAATGTTCATAGAATTCATTTGAACGTTTGAATTTTCACATTAAACCGTGAAAATGCATTGGTTTTAACTTACTGTACAACATCGACCAAGAAAATTGACAAGGAGTTTTCCAAAACTTCATCTGAAAATAATTTCGATAAAATTAGTGAATTCAATCCAATTGAAGCACAACTGTCGCGGTTAATGATATCTCACTTCAGAAATGCATTGACCAGAAACTCGACACATCCAAGTGACCCAACACTTCGTCCCAAGTTTTTCTATTGAGAATGGACAACCAGTCGTTAATTTGTCGCCAATGGAAGAATACTTCATTCATACAGGTGAACTATCTCTACAACGAAACTCAAGGGACCAGGAAAAATACGTCGTATAGACTATAGAGAACCTCATAAAATGGGGAGACAACCCCATATGACCAAAAAAAATTCGCTGTACAGAGAAAGTCAATGTGAGGAGAGTCCACTGGTAAGATTATACACTACAGTACAGTAAAATTTTGTTACAACAAACTTCCAGGGACTTCAGAAAAAGTTTGTTACAACGATAATTTGTTACAACGATAATTTGTTATAACGAGATTTTAAAAATTATTGAGTGATAGGAAGATTTTCTACAAATTAGACCTGCATATATTCAATATCTTTCTTTTTGTGGCATTTTCAGATTTTTTCAGCGTTTAAAAAACTCTGATCTTCAAAAAGAGACTCAATACTGTAGTGGATAAAAAAACATTTACTCTGAATAGCAGGTAAACACTAGCAGTTTTTCTTGCATTTTTAAAGCAATTCCTGCAATGATTTGTAAGGGAGTATGGTACCAAAATTGCTTAAAATGTTAACATCACTAGAAAGTTTCTCGAGCAAATCCTCTTTGAAAATGAGTTTTGCTGGGTTCATTTTTTTCATCTGTGTAGAATGTCACACGCTTACGAATACTTCTCCACCCGAAAGGGAAAAAGATTTGCGACTTTATCACTGAGCATACCGACATTATTTTGCGGAGAAAATCACTCGACAGAATAAGCAATATTGAAGGAGAAAACTATTTTCCTCCTTGCACCGCGAAAACACGGATCAAACTAAGCTCTCAACTACAGGTAATACCTTGAACAAGGTTAACCTCACACGACCGATGTCACGAAATCGCGAACAAAACATAAATTAGCACGTGAATCAATGAAGGCCAGATGACGAAGCACACAGTTAAAACTTCTGACCTTCAACCATCCACAAGGTCCAAAAAATAACACGAAGAAGTTTTGAGGTCCCGCACAAAACTCGACCACGACGAAAACCCCGACCTTTTCGGGCACTTACCTCCCCCAACCAGCGAAGCTCGTAGGTATTCAGGTATTTCAGCGGATCTCATTTGAATGTCACGTGAGCCCTCAATTCCGATCACTTGTCTCCATATGCATACAACAGATATAACAGCAAAAATTTCCTGATGAATATAGCCTACGAATGTCGAAACAAAACAATAGAACCCAACTCCCCAATCGGCATATAAAAAAAAATCATGAAATATTGAAAATTTTATACTAGGTCACCTTGTTGATGATCAAAGGTTTCATTCCAGACTTACATTCGACAGGTTTTAAGCACGAGCTAAATCTACAAGTTATTGCAAATCAATAAATTCTGAAGACACGAGATTCGATGGGTCAATCGAAAAGAGCACGACAGCGGGTCAAGTTTGGTATTCGGTCGATGACCAATTCGTAGAAGAACCCATGATTGAAGCTACAAAAAAATAAGAATACAGTTGAACCTGCCATGGTCGAATACCTCATTGTGTCGAATGTTTTCACGTCCCCTCTGAATTTCCTCGGAAAAAATTCATTGAACCCTCGCCTCCACATTCAACGCCCTGTCAACTCATTTATAAAGCAATTCAAGTCCACGAATACTGTATCACCAATTAAAATCACCTGTGATTCTTGCTTTCCCCAACAAAAACACTTTTGTTTTCCTCAAAAAAGTGCTCGAAACCTACGAAACACGAATTTTTTTCGCTTTACGCAAAGAGGTTTGACTGCAATACAGTAAGATACAATTATTCTAGATTCTTCAACAATTACTGCTACTCGGCAGAAAAAATACAGTAGTACACTTGCGTTGCCTTTCCTTCTCGATGTTTAATACGCAGCACCTTCCAGTTCTCTCATTCGTTCTCAGAAACGCAATTACAACTTAATCTCGATCTGACGACTGAATCCAGCATCAATACATGGTTGAAAGACCTGAAGATCCGATCTCGCATAAATACACTACAGAACAACAAAATACAGACAGACCGTCTGGGACCGATAATGCCAAGCATCACGCATCACAAATCCACACTTGCACAGAAGAGATTAGAACAGTCGGACATCAAAAACAGCAAATAAAAAACAAAATCAAATTTCCCAAAAATTGAAGAAAAAAAACACTCGGACTGTTCTGCTGCGTCACGAGACGAGCAACGCAAATCGACCTTGAATTGGACAAAAAAGTCCTCAAGACTCACTCCCCTCCGCTCCAACTACAGCACAGTACAGTAAGCTTTACCCAAGGAATGTTATATACCTGGGGCATGCAAACGAGCTACCACTGACCCTCGCGTCCATCTTTCGGGCCGGAGTTTTTCTCACCTGCCGCACCAACTCTCTTCCTCCTCCTCCTCCCCCCCAGTCCGCGGTTTTTTAACGTACCCTCACACTGACGCGGATCACCACCCGGAACGCATACGTGGCACTTGGATCTCGTCACCGCCCACTTCCCACAGCTAGCAGCATTATCGTCGTGCCACGAGCAGTGGAAACAGGGTGGCTAAGTAGGAACTGGCGTATAAACGCAATTACGCACGTTGACTTGATTCACTCGACGCTGGAATACGTGTATCTCACCTAGATGCTACGCTCGTTCATCGCGCTAACCCGATAGAGAGTACCATCAAGTGGCTCAACTTGATCCTGGCCAACATAGGGTGAACCAATAGTGAACTGTTCCACGATGAAATTATGAAGAGTAACGAACACAAAAAACGGGTAGCTCGCTTTGAGCGAGATATATACCGCGGTAACAATTTTCCTGCGCCTTAAAAAGCACTTCAATAAGAGCATTTGATCATCAGGATCCACGAAGATAAGTGTCACTTGCCTACAGGTAAACCCACAGTATGACTGGAAAATCTACCTTTTCTTAAACATTTGCACTTCTGTGCTTCATATATCAAAGAAAGAGCGACCAGCCGGTACAAAACCAGGAAAAAACCGCAGATGTGTCAATGGAAAATCCCCTCGAAACGCAGTATTATCGCAATAAGCTATATTAAAATCTCACACGAATTAACCAGAAGCCAAACGAGGGTTATTCCACACTTTTCGCAGTATTTTTCAAAAGAATATTCGAAGTAAGTGGCAATATAAAGTTAAAATTCAATATTACTGTATTTTGTAGATACGAGATTGCATGGATAATTACATAACAACCCCCATATTCGATTTTTCATCTTTTGAGCTGCGAATACACCTGATACTCTAAAAATTCTGAACTTCAATATTTGAAACCTGTACAGTACACAGACCACGACTCAGTATACGAAATAGCACCAAAACGTCTGCCATGATTTCGCTTCGATCGACGATTCACTTCAACGAACGCGTACAGAAGTACTGGAACCATCTACGCCGAAACGTAGACGCGTCAGAAATACAGTATGCTACGAAACGGTACTAGTGTAATAACGTCGCCATGCCGACTGCGAGATGCCACGACATCTTGGATAATGGAAATGCGCCGCATACGCCATAAGAAGCCCAAGCATATGTGTAACCAGCGCGGCACGAACTTGAACATCTAAATAGACAAAACTGCCTCTGGCTTCTGCAACTCTCATATCCATCACACAGTAATGAACCCAACGCTGACCGATAGACGCCGCAAGCAGATCTCCCGCACTCTCAAAATTTTGCCCACACTCCTGCGTAACCCACAGGAATCAGCTGAGGACTGACACTAGCAGCCAGGTTGCAAGCGAATCAAAACTCCGCAAGGAAGCGAGAGAGGGACGCCGAGAGGGGCGGAGGAACGAGCGAGGGGGGATACGCCACGAAGCAGGGGGCCCGTGACGAGACAGGGGGAAACGCAGACATGCACACTCCCTCCCGAGGTATCAGGACAGCGTCACTCCCGCATCGTCAGCCATCGACCTTGCCTGGGCCTGTCTTCGATCCAACTCCCCATCTCTCCCCCGGTTTCCAGTCCTATACTCGTTCGGGTCTACGCCGTTTCCTTGCCGGATGCCGCACTGGTTCCCCTCTCGGCTTCTGTACATGTGTCGGAATGTGGATTTCACTCCACTGTGGTGCTCAATAAGGATGGAATCTCATAACAAGGAAGCATTTTTCAAAATAAGTAAATCTTTATGGTTTCTACACGTTAGCTACAAGCTGATATTAAGTTTCAATACAAAAATTCTCCTCATAAAATGATGTTCCTGGGTCCCGATGGTTTTGCGAGATTCTACCTTGTACAGTACAATCTTTCCACCAAGAATGATCACTTTACAGTAAGCATTGGCACAAGGAAAAATCCCTTGCTTCGTAGAAAAAAGGTGTTCTATTGAAATAAAACGTTGTGGATATTCTTTATGGACCTGGATATAATGTTAAACTGTTCAAAATTGATTTTTGTGGATTTGATGAGTATTATAAGAAGGTTTTAAAACACATGTGAGAACAGCCAACACTTCAAATAAAGCTATTATGAAGCAGTCCCATCAATAGCATGCTACTTTACAAATGCTTACCATGTCCTGAGTAGAAAAAAAAGCCATTATGTACGTCGAGAAATTAATTGTTGCTTCTTTTCATCTTAGTTCCAAAGAGAGGGATAACAAGGGATCCAGTGGAATACACAGTACAGGAGCACCACTTTCTTACACTCACATTCCTTTTCATCTCAGGAAAGAAAGATAACATTAATTTTACAGAGATGTAATACCAGGTATGTCAAACATAAAATTTGAAGTAGAAAAGATCAGTTGTTCGCCAGTTAATCAGAACACCACGCCAACAGTTGGTTCAAGTACATATTCTGAAAGTCAGATGAACTCATCAGTCAAATGTACCATAAAATTGCGAACTGCTGATAAATTAACTACTGTCCACGATTGACAGTCACATTCACCATCTATTTCACACAAAAAGAAGGGACATTTTTGTTAAATTGGGTTCATTAACAGAAACAAACTTAATTTACTTTTAATTCCGATTAAGAACTCCAAAACTGGAACATATTAGTTACCAACCATGCAATACAGTACTTGCGGAAGTGATTCAAAGGGCATATTTCTCAATAACACTACCATGCGTTACATCCAACTTGCAATGCGTAATTGAGACGGCAGCTTACACATTAGAAAAAGTATGCAGGACCTTGAAATATTGTTCAAAAATTTTTTGTTGAAACAAAACAAAAATGTGTGGCTATTCGACAGGGACTGAAAAAGTTATTTGTTGTAAGCATTAATTAATAAGAACAAGATTATATTGTAATCGAAAATCCGAATGAGTGACACATGACGTCTTCAGGACATTTCTCGGGGCGGAAAATGCGTCCTTTACGCAAGTACTGTACATATATATTGTACATTATGACTTAGTGACGAAGCCCTGGCACTCTTTCAGATCACTCTTGACGTCTAAAACTGAACTCAAGTTCATTTCTTGGGAAAACTTAGCGCTCATATGTAAGACCAGGTAAGAGAAGGAACCCAAGCTCGAACCAACTCCACACTCACATTCACGCACAAATTTTCCGGGCGTCCGACGAACAAGCCGCTCAAATCCGGTCCGCGTATCACTCACTCACTCTTCCCTGCTATGACGCATGCTAAAGGGGGAGGGACACGAAGGAGAGGGAGAGAGGATCGCCGGTCGTTCAACGCGTTTGGACGACTATCGCGAAGACATTCCCACCCATACCTGGCATGTCGGGAGATTTTCCGCTTCTGAGCCCTGTTTGGATGATCACGGCAAAAGCTCAGAATATTCACAAGCTTCATACACATACAGTAAGAAACTCCGCATCGGACTCGGCGAGAAGGAAGCTCATACGCTGAAGGCCTAGCATCTCGAAAAAGCCGGCCCTGTCTTGACTGCGGACTGGTCCCACTTTGAAAGTAATTTGACAAGATTGCCATTCTACATGACCCGGATGTGAATCACAGGAACACAGCTGATACCATCACGGTTCAAAGCGCAATTCATTTGACAAGATAACTCCCCCGTGAAAAATATTAAATTTTCCACTTTCCGAAGCTCACAAACCTTCAATCACGAAGCTATCATTCCCGCGAATCAGCACCTCTCCTCTGAACTGAATCGGTTCGAAGACGCCTTTTATATTTTCGCACCACCTCCTAGACATTATAGTACTACGCCATCAATTACTGTAACACGCATCATTGTCACGGCAGTTCATTCGAACTCCAAGGTACACACTTCAACTTTCAGCTTCCCGATGTCGTTCCAGAACCCCCGAATTCCGATTTACCCGCGATACCTCAACATCTAACGCACCAATAATGGAACCGTACACACATACTATACCACCAAACCACTGATTGTGGTACTGGGGGAGGGGGGAGATATACCAAGGTGCAAACCAGTGGTTGAATAGCCCTCGTCTAAATGTCAAGGCACTCACCCACGTAGGATTTCCGGGATATGAGCAGAGAAGTGGACTCATCAGCCATTTACCACTTCCCTCGCCATCACAGGGTTCAGAAACCTCAAACGTGTTGCGGGGGGATCATTAACCCGAAACCCTTCAAAATTTGTGCCCCGGTCAATTATTCTGACGAAGTCACCAACACTAGAGCATATTTCTCTCAAGTAGATAACTTCTCCCCAACCAATTCTTCCGAACGATCGACACAGCATGCTCCGGAGTTGCAATAGCTGAAGCAAGACAACTCCCAACGGAAGTTCTCGAATAGACAAATTTGACGCGGAATCACAAAACATACGTATTTTTCGCTCATTCGAAATTCGGTCACAATAAGTTTTCTTCGTATCTTACATTTGAACCCTTCCATAACTAAGAAAATCATCGATGCCACTCTTCTCGGCGACCAGACGAGTCGCCAGTCCTTCCTGCAGTTAGTACTCGGACGTTCAATATGACAACTCTCCGCAATTATTTTTTTTAATTCCACGAGTTTCCTGGAGACGGACACATCTTTATAGCCTCACGTATACAGGTAGTACTCCAATTCACTTATAATAGATATAAATTAGGGACGCGGAAGATTGAAAAGCAAGAAACAACTTTGGAAGAGCATCACTTCTTTCACAAAACGCTTTCGAATTAGGTGCTAATTCCTGCTTATAACCTGCACAAATTCTATGAATACTGCGAAGCCTGTCGAGATCTCATTTTCAGAACGATCTGAGAGAGAATACTTCACATTTACAATAACCATTAAAAATAAACGATGAGATATTTGTGTCCGAACACCATGACGTTGACCTAAACATGCGAGAGAAATCTTGGCATCAACCTTTCTATTTTCCAGAAATGGAATAAAAATGGCTCGAGTCTGTTTCTCTTTGAATCACATTTCTTCATCAGATTCCGAGCAGAAACTTCACTTTATGCGAAGAAGTTACTTACATCTTTCGGACTTCTAAAATGCCTTCAAAAAAAGACACGAGGAACATTCAAGGCCTTGTCATTCAAGTGAGAACACCGTTGAAGTTGAGCATACATGAAAGAGGGAATATGAAGGAAGCCCTACGCGTTATGAACTCCACACCGTCGAAAAATCATCAAAACGATTGATAACATCGATGACGAATTCCAACAGTAAGTAGGCGGAGATCACGTCGAATATTTCACAATCACGGAACACGACATCTCTGCAACAGAAGAAACAGGAACCATTATCACGATAATTCGAACATCGAAGAATTTATGAAACGAGAGGAGGCCCATTGAATCGATCAACGATCACGTTATATTACGAATGAAGGACACTTCAAATAGTCACAGCTCAACTGGGAGTTGGTATCAACGATCACTCAATAACAATCTCTAGAAAACTCCGTAAAGAAACGCGGTTCTAAAAGCTGACAAGAAGATTCAAAATAATGGCAAAGCAGCGTCACCGAGCTTCCATTTTGATGAGCAAGAAACGTGTTATTTTTTTTTTCAAAAACACGTTCACAGAGGAACAAAGATCACATCGAAATACACATCCGAATATCCGAGAGACACGTCGTTCAACAATCTTGAAATTCACGAGGAGAAAATATCATTTCGCGAAAAAAAAGATATCGCTTCCAAGTCGATTGAATGTAATTCCTGAAAAATAATTATGAGTAGCAGAAAGCATAGGGTGTCCAGGAAGTTACTGGACAGTGGACAGTGAGAACACCGTTGAAGTTGAGCATACATGAAAGAGGGAATATGAAGGAAGCCCTACGCGTTATGAACTCCACACCGTCGAAAAATCATCAAAACGATTGCAGAAAGCATAGGGTGTCCAGGAAACTGGAACACAGTGGACAAGATTTTGTCAAGAAGCGAATCTGATTTTTTCACCTTCAAACACAATACTGTACTGCGTGCTCAATAATGCACAGTATTCAGGCATGACTCCAGTCCTATCATTAATTGCAGCAGTTTGAGAAATGCTTCAAAACGGTTGAACAAGTATTGCATATCTTGAGTAGAAATTTTCATGATCAACAATATTTCTCACTTGGAATCCCCACAACACCTCCGAACTCAAAAGCAAGCATTATTGCGAAACTTTTCGATTTGCCAAGAATTTTCCTCAATTGCAGCTCCAAGTTTTCTTCGAAGCTCTACGCTCTGCATCACACACAAAAATTGAAACGATCAGAACAATGTTTCCATTGTATTACGGTATTCAGATTTGGCATCTGGGACGTCATCCACCATATTTTGCAATTAAATCGCGGAAATAACAATCAAATCGAAATCCATTCATCCAACAATTTTAAGGTAATAACATGTACGTAGAATTATGATTTATCCGTCGAATCATGTAAATAAAATAACATTTATCAAAACATTCCCTTGAAACTATGCCACCGCACAAAAAACTTTCGGACACCCTACATTTATAAATCCGGACGAGTCTCCTGAAATGTTGCACTGAGCACCACTCATGAATTCAATCTCGTAGAAAAAAATACCAATAAAATTGCTTCCTGAAATTCGTCCATGCGCTGAAAATATCTCGTGTTACCCGATGCGCAAACCTCTTAATCCATTTGATAAACTGTTCGTCTCATTTCTGGAAGCAGGAATCCCGGTAATCAGTGGGTTCAGATACAAGTTTCTGAAGGTTCGGACGGTGTACTCCGATGCTTGCATTTGCCCTTCCATTCCTTGGTGACTCGTCAGTTCTATTGATGCCTGAAATAAAAAGTAATAATAATTTCAAGACGATTTCTTCATCCGTGCAGACACGGCAAAAGACTTACCCTATCCAATATGTCCCGTAGTTTCAGTTCATGAGCATGTTTCCTGATCGTCCGACACAAAGTTTGGATGTACCACGTTCCGTAATCCGTGTCTCGATGGGAAACTTTCCCTACAATGAGGAACGAAGACATTTTAGATTAACAAACCAATGTACAAAATAGTATTGCATTAGATGAAGCGCGTGAACAACTTTCACAACTCTCCTATAACAAAATTCCTTCAACGCATCGTTCCAGGCATGAGACATCTTAATCACGCTTACTTTTTTGTTGATACAGAAATAAATTACAGTATGTAAATCATAACCAAGTCTCAGGTATGGATGTGGGAATTCATATTTAGAAAACGAATCAAACGTCCAACATGCATAAAATTCCTCCACGTCAACAGAATTCCTTCAAGGTATCACATCATTCACGAAACATTTTAATTTTGTTGCGTACTACAGTACTTCTAAAAAAAAATAGAGTACGAAGGTTGTCTCAGTTGAACGCAGCCTCAGATATTTATAGAGTAGGTGTGATAGTAAAAAAAAAATCAACAACAAAACGTGATGGTGGTCTAAGGTTATTAATTTTTTCGGATTTAAAACATAATTATCTATTTGCTGCAGGATCATAAGTGAAAATTTCCGAGTTACAGCAGAGTACTCCGCCATTGACACAGGGCACCAAACATTTGTCAGCCAAGCGTAACAATTGAAATTTGTTTGTTTCTTTTAATCATTATATAAAATGTAGAAAAGCAGATGGTTGAAACGCAAGTACTGTAAATTCTATCCATTAGCTGGGGTAAGAAGATTTTTACCACCCAGTGACATGGGTGTAGAACTCTGCATGCAATCATCACAAGCAGTCGATTAAAAAAAAAATTTCAATTCGAAAACAAATTCAAGAACGTTTGAACATCATGTGCTATGTCACAATTTTCTTTGTATACAATCACACAGATTCGAAAAATATCTGAAGCCGCGTCAAACTGGCACATCCCTCGTACATCAAAACCAAGTCTCGGTTCCAGATGCGTAAAATTATTTTAGCAGAACGGATCGATTTTTCTACGGAACGCATTTCAGAACAATACTGTAGAACTTTTGTAAATTCGTAATGTCGCGATTACCAGGTATAGTTGAATATGCAACCAGCATGTCCGTCACTGCAGGAAGTCGGGACGCAGGCAAAGTATTTCTCAGCGCACTTCCATCATGCTGAAGATTGGGACTGATATCACGCAACTGATGATGAGCCGTCCGAACGCCATAATCATGCGCTCCACCACGACAGCAGTGCAAAACGAGAATCTTCGGTTTCCCATGTAAATTTGGCGCGTTTTCGTTGTTGAATTGATCCTCGATCCACGAGATTGGCAGTACTTTCGAGTCCGACGTATAAAACGAGTCCTCTCCTCGCGCTCCAGCGCCGTGACTCATAATGAACACGAAACAGGCATTGGCAGTCTTGTGCTCTTCCCTGGCCACAAAGTCGCGAATGGTCGACTTCATCTTGTCGTACTCCAAGTCGCTGTAATGTTCGACCGTGAAGTACAATTCTTGAAATAACTGTTTTATTGATTCCGCGTCGAATTCGGACCCGACGCGAGACGACGGAGAGTCCGGAGACACAGTGAAATTCTTGTTGTTGATTATCAGGACAAGGCCTCGAGGATTCGACATCATTTCATAGGCATCGGGTTCACCATTGTTGTAAATTTTCGCACGAATCAAGGGAATCCACTCCGTTGCTCGGCGACTCGGACTGGAGGCATGTCTGTTCCTGTCCCTGCTCAACCGAGCGGTATTTCGATTGTCATCACGAGATTCAAAGTTTCGACTCATTCCGGCAGACGAGGGTCTCCTCTGATCACAGGAATAATCACGGCGGCTATCTGAAGAAAAACATGAAGCAAATTAATACAAACATTTTATACGAAAAAACGACAAATACAACAAAATAATTGTAATATCGTAATACAGTACAGTATTTTCTTTCCGCGAAGCATAAATAATGGATATTTTGACTGACTAGCACCTTAAGAATAATTTAAAGGCACGGGTAACTGGGACAATCAATCCACGAACCCCTTTCAACCCTCATGAAAAAGGCCGACGAAACTATCCTAAAAAAATTTTTCATCTAAACCTCGGAGGCTCGGAGCAGATCGAAGTAACGCAAGTAAACATGCAATTGAACGCAATATCAAAGAGACGGTATCGAAATTGAACCAGGAAATCATTTTTGAGGCATTAGCGATTCGAGAGATATCACTGGTTAAAATATAAGTCCCCTTTTAGCAAGACTGAAAACCATGGACCAGATCTAAAAATGTGGTTCTAATTTTTCCGATTAAAAAGAGATCGGGAAAATTTTGTAATGCTCTTTAGTTCAATTGCCCCTGTAGTACACGAACTATTAACAGTAGATTTCTACAAATAAATCAAAACCAGGATGACTCCCACGTTAATTCAAGCTGTAAAGAACGAGCTCGTCACTGTATTCTACAGTATCATCACATTGACATCATATCCGAATAAATAAACACATAAGTCGAAAAATATTGAAGCAGCTATCACTTTTTTCTTTCAATAACAGGAACGATTGTTGTTACCCGCACGGAGGCAAACGAGGAATTAAAAATACAAGGAAGAGACGATGGTTCGGCTTCCAACTTGTCGTCCGGAAAAGGTGGTAGGTTCAACGAACTGTCTCGAGGCCATCGTGCAACTCATACGCCCCGCATCAAAAAGATTTTCACGGGAATTCCCAACGCACACACGCATTCATTTACAGTTAGAATATTCGATGATTTCAACAAATAAACTTGAGCGACTTTCAGTGTTCCGATGGCAGTACTCAAGAATATGATCTTTCCTCAAGTGGAAGATGGCATCCGAACAAGCTTTGAATTTATTGCAGCTAAATTTTTCATTCGTGCATCGAGAAAATATGAATTTCGATACGTAAATCTGAGACATGTTACATTGTACAAAGTTGAATGAATTTTAAAACATAACGCGCATGAAAATTGCTTGGAATTGCAACAATCAAAACGATGCTCTGATCAGACACAGGTTTCATACAAAATCCGCGATGAATTTAAGAACGTAATCGTTCCGAGCAGTCTGTGGGTTGTGAACCTCATTTCATGAACTGCATTTTGAAAATATAATGCCTATTAATAATTACGAATAACTCATGACAGTTATTCATAACAGATAAAGCTGAAAAAAATTTGATAATTCGATCATGAAGCATCAATGAAGTGGAAGTCAAGCAATAGATCTAAAAATCTCACGAAGGTAGGGAATGGGTCGAAGGCCAGGAGGGAACCAAATGTCATTCAATTTAAATTTTGTAGTGAGCACGGCATACGATAGTTGGTACAAGGATGCTGTAACTGACTTCTAGGAACATAGAAAAGACGATTACGTAAATTGTAAGCATTAACCTTACTTATTCATTAGGTTCGACGTACTTGCACCAAAAATATACGCAGGTAAGATACAGAGATCTATAAATGAAGAATTATTCCGTCTCAACGCAGGTTCACAATGAACTGACAACACGGAACAAGTTGAAACTTGCAATACGATCTGACAAAGCCGGTTTCTGTCCAGTAGGTTGAATTTTAGATTTCCGATAGAAATTCTTGATACGATCAAACTTCTCAGTACAAAAATCTCAAATTCTCAAGGACGAGAATTTGAGCGTCTGAATTCGTCATCAGGATCTTAAATACGTATTCAATACAGTGGAACAGGAATAAATAAATTATGCTGAAACTCAAAATTACGCGGATAGATGAAAACCACCATCCGTTTATAGACTAAAGCAGGGGTCACCTCTTGTTCAACGAGGAATCACAATCATAGAAAGCACTCGTCGAAAATGATACATCGGGTAGAAAAAGCATTACAGGATATGCTCATGATACATTTCCAGTCAGGTTTTAGAAATTCAGAAGACAGTATCTGACCTTACCTCATGCAAGATGATCACCGACGAAAATTATTGCCGAAAAACCGACAAAAATCGCTGGATCACTTCGCAATTCATTGATCACCAAGAAAGACCGCGGGTTGAGCAACTGACAGCAACAACAAAAAAATAATAAAACCCTGGAACGAAATTTTCGAACTTCATCACAAAAGACCGCAGTAGTCAAATACGAACTAAAACACTTCTCGAACGCATTTCTAATTTTCGTTCCATTTCGATTTTCATAGCAAATATTCACAAGCATTCACATGAATTTCGTCCGCAAAAAGTTGAGCACAACAGTTTCAACGGACAGGAAACATTTCTTGAGACCCATCGAGTATCTCATTGCGTTCTTGTGAAGCAAAACAGTAGATCAAAGGGGCCTGTGTGAATGATCCCCAAATTTTGCTTTTCCGTTTTCCGATATAGAAATTAACACCAAATGCCTCTCGATCAAGCTCTAAAATATAGGCAAGCACTTTGAACCAACGATTCATACATCGCACAGCTGACAATACTTCCCGAAAGCAAAAATCAACTCATTAATGACAAGAATCACCATCGCGTAGGAATCTTTCAAAATAAGGTCGATAAACATACGAAGGCATTTTCAGAAGTTCTCGGATTGATGAAGAAAGGCCTTCCGCCTGACTTTTGAAGGACCCACATGAAGAGAAATATTCTCCGATACCAGCCAAACAAACAAGGTTTGTTTCAGAATTTTGTCAAGTTTCAATGAAACTTTAAATTTTACGAATCTAGCTATGATAGAGATCCTCTCCCATCAAATTGTGAGCAGTTCTAGAAGAATTTCTTCTGACAACGATAAAGAACAATTTTGCCACAGTTTCACGCGTTCAAATTGGGTCTCCTAACAAGTGTTGACTGATAGAAAAATTTATTTTTTCGGCTTTTCGCTACTGTATCGTATCCGGTATTTTTTCAACAATTCGGCTGGATCTCAGAGACTTGAAGAAAAATTGGCGACACAACAAGAAGGAGATGGAAGAAAAAATTGTTTCGCATTTCATTGGGATGAAAGTTCCGAGTTTCCGAAGATTTTTGAAAATACCCACGCACATCAGCAAAATCAAGTTCGATTTACATTTTCGTTTCCAGGTCGGCATTAATCTTCTTTTGTCGGCGCAGATAAGCCGGGATTGAAAAACATCTTGCGGAATAATCTCTCGGTCAATTCGGGAACTTGCTTATGAGCGTAGTCCGATTCAAGTTCAGACATTGTCTCAGTCACCTAAAAAACCATCAACTGATTCCGCAGTTCAGGGAATAAGATAAACGGGGTACCATCCTACCTTTTTCAACATTTTGACAAAATGTCTGTCACAGGCATGATCGGCGATTTCTTGGCAAAGAGTTTGGATGAACCACGTTCCCTCCTTTGGGCTACGAAATGAAGCATATCCTAAAGAAGAAAATTGAATTATTTTTTTCGCAAAATTCACGTCGGCAGACCGCAACTAAATAAAAAACACTTCGGAAAGAGGGATCAACCTGGAGCTGGGATGACTACTGTATCGTTTTTCTAAAATAAGGAATTTAAATTCTGAGACACAGCTCAAATTTTAGCCTCCTCAGCTGAAGAAAGGGTTGCTAGCGACCTTCAGACGCACATTACCTTGCTTCACATTATGAGCACCCCACTAAATTATGCACTGATTTTCGAGAACAGTGATAAATTGTTGAATTGAGGCCATCATGAAAGTTCTATATTGGACAAGTTCTATACAAAAATATATCCTTAACAACGCTGAACAGCAAAAGATGCAGATTTATATTTTAAAAATAAATAAAAAACAGATGAAGGCTCACTTGGAGGGTTCTACAAGTAAAACTAGCCTCGAAGGCAACATCATAAATAATGATAAAATTATTGAAGTGATCATAAAGTGTTCCAGTGAATAAAGATACGAAGGTGAATAGGTTTCCAAGCATGAGGAAGACAAAGGAAATTTAATTTGAGAACACTAGATTTTTCTGTGGGCTTCTCAACGTCCCAGAAGAGCATTCCTGCGTCAAGCGGAGACTAAAAATTCGAGTGGGCACAAATTACTGCGGAGACTAAAAATTCGAGTGGGCACAAATTACTTATGAAAAATACTGATAATATGATACTATTGGTTGCATCGAATACAATACAAAATAATCTAACGTAATCGCTCAAGATGAATAAATGATTCAATCATAGTCACCAGGTACAGTCGCATTGGCGATCAACATGTGCGAAAACGTGGGCATTTTTCGCATCTGCGGTACATCATCTGATTTGCCATCCGTTTCAATCCTGCCCGCGAAAGCCATTTCCTTAGGAACAACTCCCACATCGGGTTCGTCTCCCCTACAGCACTGGAACAAGAACACCTTCGGCTTATTTTGCAACGCCGGAGCATTCGCGTTGTTGAATTGCGTCAAAATCCACTCTCGATCAATTTCCCGATGGTCGCAGGAATACACGAAGTCTCTGCCTTTCTCGGAGTTTCCATGGCTCATTATGACAACCATGGTGGCGTCTACATGCGCATGTTCGGCCTTGCTCGCAAAATTTTTTAGGATTCTCTTCATATCCTGAAAAAAAAACGACTTACTTAGCACCCAGAAATCCTCAGAAAATCACAGCTGAACAAAATGTAGCACTGGTTCAGTCTCACATTGAAAAGAAATTTAATAAATCACACGGTTCCTGTACACTGTGTAGACTAGAGTCTGTAGACCATATACCTTACTTGAGTTTACAATATTTAAAGTTCGATTTTCATTCGAAAGTTTTCTTCGGATTATCGAAACTGATCTTTCTGATCACAAAATTTTCTTAGTTATAAACTTTAAAAAAAGTTAATATCAGTAAAATGACTTGAAGCCAGCATCCGTTCATTTTACAAGCCTTTTCCCGTTCCAAAATTCTTCTCACAAATATGTACCGCAAAGAACAGAAAGAAACTTGTGACAAAGGGGAAACCGTCACTATCCCCGGGACACGAAAGCCCGGGACACGGAATCCCCGCGCGACACGAAATCCCCGCCATAGCTGTAACGAAAGCCCCAAACCGCACGCGCACGCCAAATAATAGTAAAATTAAATTATAAAAAACCACAAAATCAGATAACAAAACTGCAAGCCCTCAAAGGGAAGAAAAACACTTTTCCGAATTTACCAAAGAACAAACACATTTGCGATCGAACTTTGAACTGTGAAGGGAGACCCCCAACATTTCCGCCACAGAAGTGGAACATTCATCAGGCTGTGCTCAATGATCTTGGCTAGAAAAACAATTTCAGTGAAGCCTGGAATCACTATTTCAATGGCCTGGTTGGAAAGAAAAATCCCACCATTTGGTTACTAATTTGCTGCCTGAAACAAGATGCTGCATTAGTTGCTACAACGCTGAAGAAATTTGAAGAAGATGGTGTCATTCCACATAAGCAAGTGTCAACTGTTGAGAGATATCGCCAGAAAGAACTGCGTCAATTGTGCAAAGATTATCAAAGCCGACTTATTGAAGAGTTGGGATTTCTTGGAAAATATTTTAAAGACTATTAATTTTTTGTAAATAAACACTTTTCTACCAATGACAACGGAAGACTACCAGTATTAAAAAAAAATTCGGGGCTTTCATCACATGGAAGGACGGTAGAGACATTTGTGGCGGGGATTTCGTGTCAGTGCTATCGTCGCGCGGGGCTTTCGTGTCCCGGGGACCCCGTTATAAACCCGTGACGAAGACTTCATCTCCTCAAGAAACTTTAAAGTTAGTGTACAACGTACAGAGGTACTAATATCTCGGAACTCTAGACGTGCTTCGATATTCCGGTTTCTTCGTACATTGTAATAAAAATCATCAAAAGAGGGATCTTCGTAAAAACGAACAAGAATAATACTGTACATACCCCGGAATGTTTGTTGCGGTGGATTTCAACCTTGAAATCACATTGCTCCAGGACATCCTTCAGAGACATTACGTCCACTTCAGACCCAGTGCGTGTTTTCAATTCAAGTTCATAATCGAATACTTCATTGTTCATTATCAACGCATATCCACGAGGCTTACTCATCATTTGATAAACATCCTGAGACATGTCACAGAAAAAAAAAATTAGACAGGTCGTAGCTAAGATTATCCCCAACAGATGGAACCGAAACGCAATGAAAACTTACTTCAGTAATACCGTTGTTGTACAAATCGGCAGGCTTCACTTTTCTTTCAGGATGTTGAACTTTAGGCACGATGATTTCTTTGTCAGGTACTGATTTCGGATTAAAGCCTTTTGCGTCAGTTTCATGGACAAGGTGGACGATTCTCATCGATGCTCCAGAATCGTCACGAACTTGATCACAGAGTTGAACAAATTGAGAAACGCTTCACATAGAAAGAAAAAACCAATTAAGACTGAAGAATTAATATTTTAGACGATGGATATTTTAATCGAACCACACATGACTATCACGTAAGCACGCGTATACAGTATATTGACAACGTATACACGCGTGGACGTGAAAAAATATATACTGTACTAAACTTCTGTATTTTATATCAATTCCATGCAGTAGCCAGGCTAATTTCCACAGATATGATCCAGCATTTGTCATAGGCTGTATTTACATGGTGCTCATTTGAACACAACATTACTCTTCATTTGGGAGACATTCTCCGGTCATCTCTCTACCATCGATCGACTTCGGCTTTTTTTTCATCTCCAAGGCATGTTTGTTTGCGAGGCAAAAATTATACTACAGCGTAGTAAAGATCAAGACTGTACCTGGATTGATTACGCTCAGTTTTCGGAATGGAGAGCATCGTAGCAGCATCGACATGACCGGAGTCCCACAATGCTTGGCTGAAACGTGCAAAAGCTTTAGGGCCTCGTTTCGGAAGATCCGCAAGAAATTTACGAGTTCCTTCCCGAAAATTCTTTCGCAATAATTCCTGTAAAAAATCCGGTTAAAATTTTAAAATATTTAATCTCCATTGAACATACATAGCGTGATGAGTGCGGGACATTTACGTACTTCCAAATCTGCCGCCATACTACCCCGGAAAACGTCACGTTTCTTGAGCTCCTCGAACAAATCTGGGGCGTACACCATATCGACCAGCTGGTCGAGGTTGTTCTCGATAAGTTGCTTGTGTTCCAAATTCATGATTATGACGCGCGCAGCACTACGAAGCCCTGAGAATACAGCATGATACGAAGACCTCCAGAAGTTTAGCAACCCAGGCATAGAAACACTACGCCGAAACCACACGTCATACGAAGAACACGGCAAAACAGAGAAACCCAACGTGCACACTGATTCATCGGGCGATCGCCTTCCGCCGAAAGCGATGTACCCGACGCGATCTGTGACTGCATCACACAAACTTCCAAGATGTTATCAAACTTTTCCGGACTCATTCTCCCACTCTCTGGCACTGATACGGACATCTCACCGGAAATACTGGTATTCCTGAGAGATAAACCTCATAAAAGCGAGGCCACCTCGGTCACAGGGGAAATCCACCGTCTCCGGACTGAAGTCACACTTCAAACGTTTAGCGAACTAGCTGACAAGACGTAGTAAGGTTTTATGTAAGAGTCCTCGGCCAGCGTCACAAAGTAGACTGTATTTTCTGAATCCACACAGCAGATGACAGCAACACAATCGCAGATGGCAGCAACACAAATATCATAAAGTCACAAATATAAAAACAACTGTCTTCCTCAAAGGTTAAGAGCGAAGTGTGAGCTATCCTAGTAGGGGGGACCCAGATTACTAGCTCCATCTACAATGAACAGTGCATACTCCCTTTCACGCGCGCCTATAGCCCTTGTACACTCCAATTCTCCAACAGCTCTGCTGTGCTGCGGGTGAGGTACACTATCGTCAGCCTTACCACCGGTCCAATTTTATTCTCTATGCAGGTACAAATCCAACTGTGCATTTGAATTAAGATGTGAATTGACACTGGCACTGTTATTTCTGATTCTGCTGAGACTGAATTTGGGAGGCAGTTAGGTTAGGTCAGGTTATTAGTCGGAGATGCGGAGTGTCGAACAGTTCAGTCAAGAGTGACCCGCGTTGTCCTTTTTGCGCGCTTATGTGCTTGTTGTCTTGACCCTCAGTCCCGTTAGGTTCTCTTGTGGTTTTGCGGCGGATGTTGTTCCCGGTTGGGGACCGTTAGGTTCTCTTGTGTGTGTCGTCGGATGTTTTTCCAGGTTCGGCTTAGGGTTGCGTCCTTGTCCTTTTATGCGATCTGTGGGGGGAGATAAGGTTGGAGTTAATGTGCTTTTGGTGTCTTTGTTGTTTTCAAGATGGCTATCTCTGACTATATCTATGCACTGCTCATTGCATAAGCCAATTTACGCTATTGGATTAGATTTTCCAACATCCGAAAATTACTGAATACCTCGAAGGAACCTGCACAGTAAAGTAATGGTTGACACGGATTCAGGTGATAAGTACGGTAGGTATATTTGAGTATCGGAGTATAATAACGTACGCGTCACACACACACTTCGTTTTTCCCAGGATCTCTGACAGGAGGTGCCGTCTGGATGGAAGTTTGTATATGTCTGACGACTTGGTGTCCCTCTTCCTCTTCTTCTCCTGTTTGCCCTTGGTTGTCCCATTGTTCTTGGTCCTCTGTCCTCTGGTCCCGTTGGGATGTTTTTCCACTGGTGACTGGACTGTTGTTTTGTGACTCATGTTTATTGTGTGCTGGAGATGAGAGATTTCAGATACGGATGTTGTTGACTCTCACTCTCCCCCCCCCCCCAGGGTGAGCTCCGGGTTGATGTCCTGTACGCTAGTTCCTACCGGTACGGTACGCAAGGTTGGTGACCCATTGGGCTGGAGTTGTTTCAGTTGGCAATGTCCTCTCGTGCGGGTGAGTACGGCTCTGCAGTAGACGTGTGAACATTGTTGGTCCAGTGGCGGTAAAGGTGGCCCTTTTGCGTAGTCTTGCTCCGGTGGAACTGTCGGTACCTGGGGTGCAGAAAGAAAGGACTTGGGAAGGAGGGTTAGGTGTGTTTCGAACCCTGGATGTGGTGCGCGCGGTGGATGTGACCATGGTTGTAAGTCCCATGCGACTGCCATACGGACATCAGGGCCGGCCCCAACATGGTATACCCCTTGTACGGGCCCAGTGAGAATCACGAATGGTCCCAGTCATTGTTTTCGGAATAGTCGGTTGGCCGGGTGACGTGATTAAGTGGTCAGGCGTGGTCGGATTGTGACCATATCTCCAGGGGAGAAGTGTGGCCATTTGTTTGTGTTGGCCTGCTGACAGAACGCTGTTTGCGCCGAGAGAGTGCATCGTTTGATTTTCTCGTTGAGGTCAGATGTAGGCTCTGGCTGCGTCTGGAATTGGCAATCTGCGTCCAGCTGTACGGGTGATCCAGTAAATGCTTCAATTGGTGCTACGCCGGTAGTTTGGTGTGTAGTGTTGTTATATGCTTTCACGGATTGCGCAAGGTGAGTCGTCCATGTTTTGTCTTGTTCTTTGACGAATTTGGATTGGATTTGTCTGAGTGTTTGTATTGCGCGTTCGCAGGCCCTGTTCCCTTCAGGATGGCCTGCGTGAGCCAGATGTTGCAGGCAGTTGTTGTCGCGTAGAAAGCGTCGAAAACTTCGCGATTTGAATACGGCGGCGCGATCCGAATGAACCCATTTGGGTCTCCCGAATTCGCGAAAGATATCTGCAAGAAACGGGATGATGGTGGTGGTGTCAGCGCGTTTTGCGGGTTTTGCAAACATGAATTTCAAGTAGTGGTCCAGTACTACAATTGCGTACTTGAACCCTTTGACAGATTGAGGTAGCGGTCCATAATAATCAAGCGTGAGTCAATCCCTTGGTCCAGCGGTAATAATGGGATCCAGGTGGGTGCCTTTGTGTTGGTGGTTAATATTGTAAGTAAAACACTCGACACAGTTGATCAGCCGGTTCCAGATGGTGCTCCGCATGTATGGCCAGAAGAATTGTTGGCGTAATGTTGCCAAGATTTTCTTCCAATTTGCATGGCCTAGTTCGTGATGATAGGTATCAATAATGGTTTGTTGTTCCTCAGTTGTCAGAATTGAGCGGGTGTTGATTGAGTTTAGCGAAATTCGGCTGAGCGCATCCTGCGCCTACATATTTCTTCCTGGTCGATACTCCAGGGTACTGCGGAACAATCTGATTTTCATTTGAAGTCAGATGAGGCGCATTGATTTCAGTTCCCCCAGCAGGGGTTGGTGATCGGTCACGATCTTGAACTGTCGATGTTCAAGATAATGTTGAAATTTCTTGGTGATGCTCCACACAATTGCCAGTAATTCGCATTCCGTGTTGGAGTATCAAGTTTCTGCATTGGTGAGTACGCGACTGGCGTATTCAATCACGGTTGGTCCTTTTTTGGGGTGCGTCTGCACCAGTACTGCCCTGAGGCATGTGGCCGACGCATCTGCATGTACTTTGATTGGCAGGGTTGCGTTGTACCGCTCGAGGCGTGCCGCCTGGGCAATGGCGTTTTTTAGATCTTGGAAGGCTTCGTGCGCCTCTGGTGTCCACCAGAGGGTTGTTTGGGGTTCGGGTGGTATAGTCTTGCGGAGTCTTTGTTTGGCTCTCGCAAAGTTGATCGGAACGTGTGCCCGGAGATATGTAGCTAATCCAATGAATCGCTGCATCTCTTTGGTTGTACGTGGAGCCGGGTAGTCCTTCACTGCGCGCAGGTTGTGTTTGGCTGGTCGCGTGCCAGTTTGGTCCACAATGTGGCCCAAGAACTCAATTTTGCGTGCAAGGAAAGTTGATTTGTTGAGATCGATAGCTGCCCCTGCTTCCTGCAGGTCCTTAAGGATGTGTTGTAAATTGGTGCAGACTGATTGAAACAAATCGCCAAAGACGATGATGTTGTCCATATACACAAGACAGCGTTTCATCAGATGTTTGCGTAGCACCGAATTGATTGCGCGTTGAAAGCAGGCGGGTCCATTTCATAATCCAAAGGGGAGTACCGAGTACTGCATTTGCCCCTTCGGTGTCCAGAATGCGGTTTTATGGCGGTCCTCTTGGCGCATTGGCAGATGGTGAAAAGCCGCGTGAAGATTGACTGTGCAAAAGTAGGCATTTTTTCGCCCAAGTGCATCAATTAGGTCTTGGATGATGGGTGTTGGGTGATTGTTGTGGAGGAGTTGTTCATTTAGTTTCCGGTAATCCTCCATGAGTCTCCAATTTTTGATTGCGGGTGCGCCCTCTTTTTGGTTCTTCTTGGGCGTGAGGAAAGCTGGGGAGTTGTAGGCCAATGTTGCTGGTTCCAGCAGTCCGGCCTCTACATATTCGTTGATGATGTCCGTGAATGGCTGTTGTTTTTTGGGCACTTGTCTGAACGGACGTGTCATCGGTGGATTGTTGTTGGTTGTGGGGAGGCTGACCGCGTGTTTGGGTAAGCACCCGCGTCTTCCAGACCATTGATGGATGGCCGCGGAGTATTGTTTCAGGATGCTTGTCACGGTTTGTCATTCATGTGCATCGCTGTCCACAAAGATAATGCCCTCACCGATTTTGTGCGTTGGTTGGGCAAGGTTCTTGGTATGATTTTTGTATCCAACGTACAATCGCGTGCCTTCGAGCCCAATTGTGATGGGCATTTGTTCAAGTAGTTCCCGCCCCAGTATGAGTGGGTACCCGGCATTTGGAAGGAGCCATAGTTTGGTGACGTATGTCTTTCCTTGGATGCGTACGGTGGTTTGGATAGCCTCTTGTATGATGGGGTTATTTGTTTGTCCGGCTGCCAACACGGCAACCCGTTCTTGGAGGATGGGCGTTTGGAGTTTTTGTGCCCATTGGGCATCGACAAAGGAATGCGACGCGCCGGTGTCGATCATAGCCCTGCCAAGGTGCTGTTGGAATTGGACGTCAAGTAGTATTGGTTTGTTGGACGCAGCGTAGGTCTGGAGGAGCCAAAGAGCTGCGTCTATTGGTCCTGTTTGGCGTTTCCCTGGGCGGTTGTTTTTGCTTCGGATGTTTTGCTCGGTTTGGCCGACAATTCTGCCTTATCCTGGGGAGGATAGGCTGGGTGTTCTGGATAGTAAAAATGGGCACGACAGAATTTGGTTGTATGTCCGACCTCCTTATGCCATTTGCAAAAACGTCGTGAATTCGTAGAGGGAGGCCGGCCTGCCTTGTTACCCTTTGGTTTGTCACTGTTGGCCGGGAAAGTGTCTTCCTTGGCATTAAGATGATTTCAGTGTTGATCAGCCATAGTCAAGAGTTCTCATGTCCTATTTGGGTATTTGCTGATTTGCGCTTGTAATTTGCCCGCGATTGGCGTGGGTGCTGCTTGCAGTATTTGTTCAATGAGCATGGGGTGAATAACTTGTAGGTGATCTGCGTTCACCTCCCTTGGCCATAGCTTGAGAAATAGCTTGAAGTGGGTCTGCATTTGTCTCTCAAATCGGCGATACGTCTCGTCGGTTTGGATTTGTAAATTTTGGAATCAATGTAATCGTTTGTATTGTGGTGTAGGATGTTGTTTGTTTATTTCCACAATCATATCTTCAAATGTTTGTGATCCTGCTGCGTAAACTTCTTGCGCCGTTTCAGATACATCCTTTTTGGTATTATTGACGAGGCAGCGGATTTTATCTTCTTCAGACACTTTTTGGATAATTAAAATTTTGCGGAGATGGATGATATAGTCCTCAAAGTCTTCTTGCTGGGTTTGTTTGGGAAGTTTGGCCTCTTTATGGTCATGGACACAGCGCGGCGTGGGTGGTGGTAGCCACGGGTTAGGAACCGTAGTATTATTTAACATGGCCAGTTTACGCGCCAGTTGAAACATCATAACGGTGAGGGGAGACACTTGGTTTTGTTCAAGCAAAGAAATGTACTCGCTTTTTGTTGCCTCCGTCAGTTTGATCGTCATAAACTGGTTGGTGAACTGCTGCATCGTGTCAGTTTCAATGAAGTCCCAATGGGAAGGCTGCAACGATGTTGGTGAGGAATACGTCCACGACGGATTGCTGTCACCGGTTGGTGGAGCGCCTGCGTCATTGGGAAGTGCCGTACTTGCGGCTTTGAGTAGCTCGGCAGTTGACGTCATGGTTCTGGCATCCCTCTCCGCAGCTCTGGAATTCTTGGTGGTGCGTGGCATTGATGTACAATATCACTGAAGTAGGTTGTTATTGCTTTGGACAAGCCCCCAGTAACGGTTGACACGGATTCAGGTGATAAGTACAGTAGGTATATTTGAGTATCGGAGTATAATAACGTACGCGTCACACACACACTTCGTTTTTCCCAGGATCTCTGACAGGAGGTGCCGTCTGGATGGAAGTTCGTATACGTCTGACAACTTGGTGTCCCTCTTCCTCCTCTTCTCCTGTTTGCCCTTGGTTGTCCAGTTGTTCTTGGTCCTTTGTCCTCTGGTCCCGTTGGGGTGTTTTTCCACTGGTGACTGGACTGTTGTTTTGTGACTCATGTTTCTTGTGTGCTGGAGATGAGAGATTACAGATACGGATGTTGTTGACTCTCACTGTATCAAATGATGACAACAATGACTCTTTCAAGAGACTCCAACTCTGTGCTTGAAGGAAGTCTTGGGCATGGCTGTAATAATTTCACAGAAAGACTGCGGGTGGGAAGGATCACACTGTACTGTCAAGTACTTTTATTGATATAATCGAACTTCGGTTTCTCAGCAGATTTCCACTAGATATGAGCAAAATTCTGCAAGTTTAACATGCAGGAGAAGATTCTCATTACAGTACAGTATAATTAATCTTGACATGCCAAAAGCCAAATTGTTGCTAGCAACGAATTTTAGTTTTATTTTGTCAGACAGTTTTTCTCCACCATAAATTAGGATAGTTACTGAGTCGGCAATTGCTTTTTCTTCCCCAAGCATCCATGTGATAAAAAGTGAATGATTGTTTCAGAAGCTCAGAAGTGTGACGCTTCAATTACTATAGTATAACACTGCTTTCCATGCAGCGAATGTGATACATCAGTACCATATGTTATCAGCATCATTAGTCACCTGCTTTCTGTAGAATAGATTACCTCCTAAAAATGTCCTGTATTCTTGTCGCATGATCTTTATAACCAAGGTCACAATGCTTTTCGGTCATTCTTTTATTAATTCACGTTTAATATCCATCAGTATGCGGACTTTAACACGTCATCGTGTTTAAAAAAATAAGTTTACAGCATTCGCCTCATTTTCTTACGATAAACAGAAGTTCATGTTTTTCAAGGAATGATGGAAGTTGCTGAATATTTTGTCGTAAATTCGGAAGCAAAATCTTTTACAGTACTATGATTTTAGCAACCCCAATCAAAAGCGTTCTTGAGCTGAAAATGGGCAAAAGAATTCAGAATAAGAAGTTACTTGATGAAAGCGGCAACTCCATTCCATGTGTCAATAAATGGTAGCCATGCAGTGCAATCAGCTACCATTAATTAAACAAACAATTGCTGCAGATCTCATGATGTTGGAATATGAGTTACTATAACTACAGTATATTTTTGCGCTTTTACCTCCTCCAGAGGGAGTGTCAAAAAAGCGGATAAAGAACAATCCTCTGGATGAAAAAAAAAGAATTTAAATATCTTCAACATAGATTTCAGGGATTCATACAGTACTTCGAAATTCTCAGTGGAATGAATACAATATACTCCTGGTGTTGCCAGCATGGAAATCTTCGTAAATTGGGTTTCAATCAGCATGTTGTGTATAGTAGTGAAAATGTTTGCCAAACAGAAAACACAATAATTATTCACACGTTTGTGAAATTATTTTAATGGACATTGCGGTGCACAAAGGGGTTGGAACATACTCAAAACACGAGAAACATAATCAAAATCAATCTTGCGGTCGCTTCTCGGAATATTTCCGAGTAAAATCCTCCGCATTCTTCATGAACTTGGCCTTATCCCTTGCATATTCTTCTGCAACATCAGCACGTAGTGGGTGCTCAGGCTCTGGGTCATTCACCAAGGCAATCAGAGCTTGCAGCACCTGGTCAGTTTTTGTGGCTGGTTTCCAATTCTCAGCCGCAATAATGGGTAGACACACCTGCATAAGATACTTGATGCATATCACATGATCACAACCAATAAAGGCAATGGATTTCGAATTTCCAGCCAAAGAAAACTAATAGTATCACACCAACGGCAAAATTCTATCAGTGATACACGTGGATTCTCACAATCTTGTCTAAAACGATATTCTCTGTAATCTCTGATCAACGAATGTTTCTTGTTCAATAGGGTTCTCTCCATATGTTAGAGGGGTTTTCAACGAAAAAATTCTTTACAACAAATATTTCCTGGTCCCTGGAATTTTGTGGTGTAGAGCAGTGTTCCCCAACCCGTGGTCCGCGGACTGGCGCTGGTCCGCAGAAGTTTTTTGCCAGTCCGCGGGAAATTTTCACCAAAATTCAAAAAGAGTTGGGATGAAGTCTATTTTCTTTGCTTATAATTTTAAAAAGGACAATGCCAGTTGAATTATCCGATGAAAACAAAAGTTGACTTTTCTCCTGATAACACTTCAGACAAATTCTCAACTGATGAAATAAATTATCTTGATTTTTTATTCTGAGAAACCTTTCTCCAAGCCCATTCTTTAATTGTTTGATGACATAATTAACTGCAGTTTTCTTTCAAATACTGTACCTGCCTAAAAAGACTCGAGCAAAACTTTGGCGAGTCTGCAAAATTTTTCCTCACCTCTGAGTGTTATTATGTATGGATGGAACAACAGCTCCGCTAAATTAATGTAAATTTTAAAAATCAACATGTTCTTGTACAAGGCATACCTACCTAATCACTTCAATAAAAGAAATGGAAAAATGTTTGGGATCACGTTTGACTACATTAAAATCAATATTGAGAGATTAGAGCTTTACGTCCTCAAAAAGGGGGTCCCGGTATCACAAAACTAGTGTGTTCCTGGATGCGTTTTGGTATAAAGAATTTTTAGTTTTTCAACAAAACTTTCTCCTTCAAGGCTACATTTCGAATGGATTTAACTTGTTTCAGAGATTCACCAGAAAACGTGTTGTCAATTATAAAAGTTGATAATTTTCAGCACAGAACTGAATTCAAAATACATTCTGATATTGAAGTAATCCAGGAAAAGTCTTGCTGTTCAATTTCCGAATTTCACAAATTTCAAACACAAGAACATGCCAAACTATGCAGCAGTACTCATTTTCAGTTCTTTTCTCATTTCCCTCACAATAAAGACAAAGTGCAAATTGAAAAGATGAAATGTAAGCATTTTTCGACAAAAAATGTCATTCTGTGAAAAAAATCTTTCGGACTCACTGTTTCTCCCTAAGAATTTTCATTACTCAAATTTTTCATTGTTAGGGTCTTCAGTTATGGTATTTACTCAAGTACCATGCACACCTTTTTGCTAAAATTTCAGAATAAAAAAAGTTGTGCACGTCATAAGCAGGTACAAATTTTTCAAGAAGCTTAGGAAGTTATGTGTGAATTATACTTAATTATAATGGAGAAATTTTGAACAAATGTAACAAGAGACCTTTTTTGTAATGAAAAAGTTGTAAAATCCAATTTTTGTTCAATTCATGTCTAAAGTCAAATTTTTTGAATTTATTTTCAAAATTTTGTAGTTTTAGATTCACTAAAAATTGTGGTGCGTGTCTTACTTGGATATAAGATTTTAGCCAAATTTCCAACTGAAAAACCCCTGCGCACGCCTTACTTGAGGGCGCGTGGTACTCAAGTAAATACGGTACTGCATTGCATACGCTGTACATACATTCAGATAAAGAGTACATAGCAAAAGAAAAACAACGAAATAATCTATTGGAGTATGGTTTTAGTTATCCAAAGTTGGACAAGAGATGAACGTCATGGAACATCTAAAGGGCTTCATCCTACATCGCCTGCAGCACAGAAACTAAAATGCGATTACTGTATACAAATGTTGAAGTCAAAGTGCATGAATTTCATCATATCGAACAACAACAAAATCGGAATTATCCCTCAAGAATATTGCTCATGCAGCTATACATCGAACCAATTAACGAGTCGGAGTCACAAACCTGCCCCTTTTCATCGATGTTGGGATGGTAAATCCGAGTCTTGAACGTTACTCTGGGCGGCTTAAATGGATACTCCGCAGGGAAAATCAACTCGACTCGGAAAGCACCCTTGTTGTAGGGTGCATTGCTCGGTACTATCAGCCCCTGCCATGTGAGAATGTTGCTGTCATCCACTTTCAGATCACGGAACGACCTCACGCCATTGTTTCGTATCTCTTGCAATTCTTTCTGCAACCTCCTCGTCGCTGCCATATCTTCAATCAAGTTATCTGGAGTAAGGGAATAATATAATCTTGACTGTACAGTAGGTTCCTTTCTGGTATCAGCACTGGTGAAAAACGACATCATTCAACAAAAAAAGAAAATGCTATGAGATAAAAATCAAGAAATGGAGCAAATGGCTGGAACCGAGGATCATGACCAGCTTTAACCTTCGAAAATTCCATTTTTCAAATGCCTCGACATGCAGGAGATCTTTCGTGTACTTCTTACCCGACAGTTTCTTCAAATGATTCATTGTACTGTATACTTCAATCACGGTATCTTTCTGTAGATGAACTTAAGAGTTTTTCTGCTTCCGACAGCATTTTTCATACGCGCACTTCATTTTTGTCATTTTTATTTGACTAAAAAACGCGTTTCCTGCCATCAACTAAACTGTACACATTATACATGTTAGGGAAAAGTGAACACCCTCTACTTTGAGACCCCCACATGCGGACACCTTTACCTGTGGACAATTTGACAAAGGGAGACTTATTTTCCCATAAAAAAGGCCCAACATGAGGACACTGACTCAACATAGGGACATTTTGTCATAAAATTGCAAATAAGTTTCAGGTCAAATTACAAGAAACAGATATTTCCAACCCTAAAATCGATGTAAGAAAAGTTCCTGGGTATTTCTCTCACCAATTTACCATCCACTTAGCCAATTTAAAAAATTACCTCCAGCATAGAGGGACTTCCTTCTCTCTTTTCAGCATTCAATTCCCCAAATGTCCATATTGTGTTGAAATATATTGATAGAATCAGTTTCAATTGGGAGATAATTTTTATTTTCATGGAATTATGGTGAGTATTTTGTACATATAACACCAATTAAAAAGTATATAATTTGAGTCTAAGGGAAAATGAGATTCAACTTAAGGACAATCTTGATGCACCAATTACGTCCGCATCTTGGGGTCACACTGTACTTGAGATAATATCTCCAGCTTGGAAGAATTATCAATCATTTGTCAAGTTTTAATTCGCTGGAAATTGAGCACAAATCCACTTGCAATTGGTTGACAATCTTTCCGAAACAAGATAATCTCTAGGTTTCAGCAACATGCTGGCAGAACGTTCAAATTCATCATAATAAAGCATAAAATTTCTGAATTTGTAAGCAATAAATTGTGAATTTAAAAGTTATTAGTATGAAATTGAAGTGATCATGACGCCTTAATCTTAACTTTCTTAATTACACAGACAAAGATATGCAATACTTTTCTCCCCCGAATTTCTCAACATTTCTTTTAAATCCCCAAGTTACCGTATTTAAAGTTAGTTAAAGCTTTTTTGGTCGAAAAATTTCCTCAAGTGAAAAATTTCTTTATTTGAGTCATTCCCCTTTCCCTCTCCAAGAATTTCGGTTACGTGGATCTTTCATTGCGTGGGTCTTTTATTATGTGGGGGATTCACTGTATAACGATTTTTTTTGTTCCAGAGGGATTCTCTGTTCATCTCATATAGGGGTTCTCTACAAAAAAAAAAATCCCAGGCCCTTGAATTTCATTGCGAGAGAGTACAGTAATTGCACAAGGTCTCTATAGTTGCAGTCATATGCTGCATGGTCAAAGAAAAGTAAATTCCACTGAAAATAAATTCATCAAAAATTTCAATCTGAACATCGCTGAAATTCGATTACGGGTCATCCAAAATACAGAACACACGTGAACATGTATGAAATTCGATTACGCGTCAAACAAAATACAGAACATGTACGTACAGCTAGACGATTTGATGCACCGACCCGGATTCACAAGGTCAGTAAGTTCAGAACACCAATTGGCCTCACAAATAGAGCACAATCATTATTCACTCGTAAATCACCTGGAACAGAAAAAAATGCCATGAAGCGCAAAATGCATAGAAGAACACTAATCAAAAGTTTTTTTTTTTAAAGAAAACAATAAATCATTACATTTTGCTTACACCAGCAATCTTGGAACAGTGAGCAGTGAACGAGAAAATCAAAACCATAATTTACACTACAGTCTCTGGAAACCATCCTGAAAACACAATCACGGTGGGTGGATAACCTCGCAGACAACAAATCTCTGCAATGAAAAGAATCGTGCGTTCAGCCCTGCGCAATAAAACCCAATCATCCCGGACTTTTACCAAGAGAACACGGTGACACAAAGGACATATATATGACACGTAACTACATACACGTAAATTTTTTTTGTCTTACATCTTTCATAACAACACACTGAATGGCCTGAGAGGAGACTGACTCAAGACCTCGACTTCATATTCACAAAATCGCGCGCAAATAATGCAAAGCCGGCCAATGAACTGCACAATCATTTTCTGTGTGTTGTTGTTTCACTTCCCACCAACAGTCTCAACAGGACGCACAAGCATCTCATCATCGCTTATGGGAAACACTTCATCCTTTATGACAACGCCTTCTATCGCGGGTTCCACGTTCCCATTGGTCTCAATGACTGATGCGCAGGAAGCCAAGGGATCTTGTCGCCCGCGAATAGATTTCACCGCACCCATACACTCCTTCTCGTGTCGTACCTTGGATAACCCATCCAATCTCTGTTCGCATTTGGAACAAAACGAGGGACTCAATTCTTCAAATTCCAAACCCGAGGTCTGGGTTTCCACCGAGGCCACGTCCAACCGCGGGATTTTGCGAGACGGAGAAAGCCATTTCCTGTTGGCCACGAGTCCGCTCTCGTACATGTCGAGCATCTTCAAAGAAGGCTTTCGGATGCGTTTGGAGGATACCTCGATGACGCGAAATGTTTTCGGCTTCTCGCCAGACGCCAACACTTCCATACACTTGCGCCTGGAATTAAAATTCAATTATTATTACGATGGTTATCCTCACGGAAAACGCAAGGCGAGCAAGACAAAAAAATTACCTCCGTCGCGCGAACAGTACCATATAATCTTATGAAAATTGTGCAAAACCTTAAAATTTTAACATTTCAAAACTCAGAGTCCCGCAGTGACAGTGTCTCTTTAAGGTTTTTTTCTTCGATTTCTTCTGTCTTTCTTCATAAACTGGAATTTTGGCGGCTGTCCACGCATTTACCCACTTAAGCACATCTGCCTGAAATTTACGCAATGGATTACAGTACTCCAAACCTATTCCATTAAAATACAGAATAACTAACAACTTTGAAATTTGAAGAAGATTCAAAATTTAGAAACATTTAGTGACCAGCATACAGTATTTTTGTGGATACAATTTTGAATTAGAATTTCATCAAGCATTCTTTTAGGCATACATTAATGATGTTCTCGTCTGTAAATATCGCGGTCAATTTTTACTAATTTATTCATGTGTACTGACAATAACATGAGCAATTGGGTAAAACAAACTTGCCCGAACGTGAAGAAAATTATTTCCCGGTGTTTTAACTTCCAACATTTAGAAGTATTTTAATAAATTGCTGGAATTCAGGGACATTTTCGTCTTAGAAAATTTTGCAATGCAGAATGTTTTTCATGTGAATACCTTCATCCCGTATTGAACTTCCTCAATGCAAATTTTGTTTCACCTGTGTCATTTTTAGGCAGGGAATCACCGCATGTAATTTATTCTACAGTTTGGTTAGGAAAGTCGAGTTAGGATAGGAAATCTTGAACAAGTGAGTCGGCAGAAGTACGGTAGGCTAAAATCTTTCATACATACATTTCAGTAATTTCGAAATGCACCGGCAGAGGGAGTGTTTTGCGTGGGATAAGGGAGAAGGCAGGGTTTTCTTGGATAAGAGCATAATGACTTGATTATCACTAGATCATTTATTCTTTTTCAGATTACAACAATTATTCCCGAAGTGCACCAAATATTGCCACACGCTGCATCGAACTGTCTCAGGTTTGAACATGCAGCATTGCCCTCAACGTGACGACAATACTGTATCCAGTATGGTGGACGGACTTCTACAGTACAATGAAATCAATTTTGCCACAATTGCTTGTGTTTCTATTTCTAATAAACAAACGCCTAACAGAGAGGTCTATGCAAGTTTTTCGAAGACGACCCAATATACTACCATACGAGTATTTACTCGCGTATCAGGCACACCTTTTTTTTCGAAAAATTTAGAGGAAAACAGAAGGGTGCGCGTCATAGGAGGGTATAGAATTTTCAAAATATTTTAGAATTTAAGGTGCGCGTCACAATACATTCTAATCGGAAATATTTGGATTCATTTCAACAGGAAAACTACATTCAACGGAAACAATAGAAAATTTATGGAATTCAGACTTAATTTATGTCTGGTAAGTTGATTTAAAAATGCAGTTTCAGAGTAACTCAGAACTGGGGTGCACGTCCTAATCGGGGATAGGATTTTATCAAAATTTTTAGCTGAAGAATCTGGGCGCATGTCTTACTCGCAGGCGCATGGTACTCGAGTATATTAATACTGTATACTAGTTGTACCTCGTGACATTAAAAAAATATCAATGCAAAAACGCGAAAAAATGGCCAAAGCAGGTCAAATTGCAGGGCAAGAGTCAAATCGTGAGTCAACCTCCCTGCAAATTCGACCGTCGAATTTCGGGAGGTCGAATTGCGAGGTACCACCTGTAATGTATTACTGTCCCTTAGAGTTCCTCGCGAAAATAAACTGCAGTACTGCTGGACATCAGTTTGCGCGATCAATGTCGTATTTCGCAGAGGGACGGTATGCAACAACAGCAAAAAGCTACACACAGTTCAAGTCTGCAAAGTTCCATTTTACTGTATTAAAAATTGGAGAACGTCACGCAACTTTACGGTTAATTGAAGACTGGTTCATTGGAATTATGCTGCATGAATTTATCCATCTTGTACGGAATATTGTACAGTTGTCCCCCACCGGACGGATTTTCATGCAACAGATCGCCTCTGAGGTGGTTTTCCCTCCCACGCAACGGACTAATTCCGCGTAATGGACTTTAGTCTGTTATGCGGCCTTCAGTCCGTTGCGCGAACTTCAGTCTGTTACCCTGCGCACCGCCGGTGGCCATGAGTCCCTCACATCCCGCCCTCGCTTTCCACCTTAATTTAAGTTAAACCCATCATTATTACTGGTGTTAATGTGCGTGTGCTGTGTTTTCGAGTAGCAGGGAGATGAAGCAGACCAGCATAAAAACCTTCTTTCCTGCTAGAGCTGAGCCAAAAGGTACCCAAAACCTGTTCAATATTCATGACAGTGACTCTGACCGATCAATGCATTTTTTTCAAATGTTTTTCACATTTTGAAGAATGACTGATTAGCAATTTATGGGCTTCCTTCTTTCTTGTTTTGGAAGTGCATGAAGCTCAGGTTTTATTTAGTTTCAGAATGGCTGTGTTTCTATTTTGTTCCATAATTTTCCTGTTACTTCCTCAAGGGAAAAGCAAATTAACATTTTAATCATGTAAAATGCATGGGAAAATCAAACTTGCTTAACAGACTTTCAACGTAACAGCGTTACACAGGGGGTGTCAATAGGTTAGATTCGTTAGGTTTCGTTTTCGTAGATGTCGTCAGTAGCGCATGAAGATGGCGGGACGGAATTTTTTCTTCACTTTCGTAGATGTCGCTAGAGAACAAATAGTTCATATCTCCTATACTGTATTTAGGAAGCTTTACATTACCCTGTACAGTCCACGTCAAGATTGTTATCTACAAAATGCCCCCATCCGTTTCATATACAGGTACAGTACTGCATAAACTCTACAAGTTTCCATCGGGAACAAAAAAAGGTTACGAAAAATGAACGCACTCACCAGTCCATGGCACTGACATAAACACTCTGGTTCTTATAAGTCTTTATCCCGCGTGGGCTCGCAACAACACGACGAACCCCGAGGGGGCAGTTGTTGACGTGTTTTTCGGGCTCTTCGAAAGCGTACGAGAGACCGCAGTCCGGACATTTCCCATCCGCAGTGTCGGGTGCATCGGAGGTTGAGTTCACCGGGCAATTCAAGTGGTATTGCCGGGTCTTGCCGCCGTAAGACACGTCGCAGCGCTTGCAATATTCCACGTCGTACTGCTCAATTTCCTTGGACTCTTCTTTGATCTTTAGCAGAACTGTGTTTGGCGCAAGATTGCCTCCCGGCAGGGTTTCTAAAAGCTGGAAGGAAATACCGAAGCGAATTATTGTTCGGTACTGATTGTGTCAAGATTATATGCGAACGGCGACAACTTCGGTACGCGTTTACCACTTTCCCAGCTAGCAATTCAAAACTAACTGATTTTGACCAAATTACCTTTTTTTTTTCTCAAATACAAGAGCTAAGAAGGCGAATTTGGATCACGTCAGCGTTCAACTCATTTCTTTTGACCTGGACTACTGTACTTCAAGTATTTCAATTTTCGAATCATATTTGTCCTATCACGGTTCAAACGGCCATGTGAAAATACACCTACCGCTGAGAAAAGTTGCCGAAGAAATGCAATTTTTTAACGCAGAAATATCTCGGAAATTTTTACATCATCATTGTTCCAGTTGATATGAGGAGTTTGGAATCGTTATCATCTAACTTTCGAATTGAATACCATCAAGGTTTTTCTCAATCTTGGAGGACAGCAAACATTACTTCATTGAATCTCAAGTCAGTCAAAGTTTTTGATACCTTCTCCATCAGACTGTCTTCAAGTCCACTAACTGCAATAAAATTATTACGGAAAAATTGAAAATTATGGGGAAAAGATCTTCAAATAAATCTTCACGAACCAGTGATAAATTGTATCTTCTTGGAAATGCATACAAGTTCATGATGCAAAAAAACAATGAATATGAATTTCCCGCTGGAAAAACAGAAATCGACGGTACGTTTCAACACCTGCGTGATTTCGCCTCAATCTTATCTGCCCATCGTATTATTTTCTGGCTGAATGATGAGTAAATCACTCAGCCAGCACCACTGTTCACTTCTCTATACGAGCAAAAATGAGAGAATATCAAGTTGCGTAACACATTTTCAAGCACTGCGCTTTCAAGCCAGCGGATTAACAAAATGAAGTTTCCAGAAGCACTTGAAAATGATGATGATTCTTCGGATCTGTCAAAGAAGCGCAGGATTCTTCGTAAAAGTCCGGGAACTTATGAAAATAACCTCGCATACACGTTCCTATTTCGAAATTTTATACTGTACTACGGTTACTTAAACCACTCGGAATCCACGTAAAAACTTGTGGAAACTACCTCTAATTAATCAGACTGGCTCTAATCTGTCAATTTTTAAACTAAATTCAAGACGTGGCCAGTTCAAGTGTTGTTAGCAGGAACTTGGGGTTGCTTACCATAGTGAAAACTCGAGAAGTGAGGTTTTAAACTTTTAATCTGATCCATGAGAGCCTATTTTTTCTTGCTTGACGTATTTTGACAAAAGATAGAATTACTGTACAACGAAGATCAACCCAACTTTGACTTTCTCGGTTCAATTTGACTGATGAAAATACTGCACAGTATAGAAGAAACAATGCATAAGCAATAGGATCCTATCTGATTTAAAATTTGTTATTTCGACAATACAGTATCGCCAAAATATAAAAAAGTATCGTTTGAAAAATAAAATTCGGACCATCCTTCGACTGTAATGCACGTGATCTCTGCCCGTAAAAAATTCCATGCACATGAAGCATCATTTTCCTCGACACAGCAGACCTTTTACAACAATGAACAAGCGGTTTCTGCACATAAAAAAATTTAATCTGTCGGTTCCCTTAGCATTGGAATTGTCGTCAGTCCAGTCGAAGATGCAAGGAAAAACCCTCGACACGAGCTCAATGCCTTATACTGACACAATTAATGAGAGGGACAAAACTGTGCATTAATGTGTACCCCAAAAAAGAATCTTACCTGCTTCCTGGCGGACAAATTTTTGAAACTGTCGTCGGACCCGTATTCCGGAGACGGAGCGGATTTCGCATCCACGAATTCGTCGGACATTATTGGCGAACTGCCAGAAGCAGTCACATTGTGGACTAGCGAATCCAATAGATTTGCACTGCGCTCAAGAGCAGATGCATTATGGACGCGGCTTTTGTGCCCGGTGAGACTTCGCAAATGGGGGAACACCTTGTAGCAAATGTCGCACTGATACGTCCCGTCGGATGAATCTTCTCGCTCAATCTTCAACCGCTTGCTCGGTCTGACACGGTAAAGAAAACAGGATTTTTCCATAATTAACGAAAGGCGTCTTCGGTTCGATACTCCTGTGACTTCCGCATACAGTGTTATCGGCGATTCAACACGAAACCGTATTTCGTCTTCATCAAAACTTATTTCGAGAGATACGCTTTAAATGGTCCCCGGAAATGGTCATGAGTTATCAATACACTAAAAATGCGCACAAGAAAACTGTCGCAACCATTGGATATCTCGGAGCAATGGCATCACGAGGCTTCACCCATAATTACTCGGATACAGACGCTTTTGCTTGCAAAAATTGATTCAGAGAAGAGACCTGCGTTTTATATTCTATTTCGCATCAAGATTCAAAAAATAAATCGCATGATAACCCACAAACAAAACAATATTCTGCAAAAAAAATTCATAAAATGTAATTGAACACAACCTTCACAGACACATGAAATTATAATTTCTGTTGAGGATAGGAGAGATTCAACGGGTAAATGAAAAAAATTTAAAACAATTTCTTCGCTGCTGAACGTATCGGATGTACAGTATCGGATGTACAGTATATGATACTCCAACTTAGACTCGCGAACAAAATTCTCTTCATCTTCTAAGCTTAAAAAAATAAACGAAGTATGTCTTATAATCGATGGCATCTTACGTTAAGAGTAAATACTCTATTCCAGGACTACTGTGTCAAACTATCTTTCCGTTACCTCTCCGGAGTTCCAAAAGAAGCGCCGGCATTCTTCCTTTTTTGCTCGAGCTTCTTCGCTTTCTTCGATAAATTTTCGCGATCACTAGATCCAAAGCCGCACTTCTCGACTGGCTGATCATCGTGGAACTCGTTCGCGTGTACAACGAGCTCATGTAGCGCCAAAAACTCCTCCGGGCAGAATTTGCAATTATACTGCTTATCGCACTTCAAGACCGTGGAAGAAGCGTGCAGAACGTGTTGTTGCGTGAAATGGTTCGACAGTGCTCGGATATTGTCGAAGCGTTGCCGACAATGAGGACACTTGTTCGACGATGCCTCGACCTTTTTCGGAGTGGAGCGAACTGCTTTCAATTTTTCCTCTTTTCCTTTGCGAACATTTGTCCCAGTTTTCGGCTCGAAATACGGCTTCGGAGCGTCTCGTTGAGGAAGCTGGAACAAATCAAAATACTGTACTTTAAGAATAATCGAACTTCTTCCCAAAGAACTCGTCATTCTTTCATCGGCTAAATAAGTACGGTAATTCCTACAAAGGTGCCTCATTCAACGAACGCCGTACGAAAATTCAAATCAGCTCGTCTCGCAAACGAAACCGCGCACCACAAGGGGGTATAAACACGGAACAAATAAATACATCATCATCCGAACAATGAAATGAAAAACGGCAGAAACATCTTCGATACCGATGTTGGATGTTCAACAAATGCGGTTTTACAGATGGACTCCCTGAAAATCGCTTCGGTGGAAAATTATGCTCTCGTCAACATGACGCTTTTTTCTTCCTGGTTCATGCAGGGAACTCCCTACCAATTTACAGTACAAGCAGTTCCTCTGCAAAACTACCGTATGCATACCACTTATTCTTTCTATGAGCTCGATTTTTCCAGAAAAATGTAATTTCCTGAAGAGTAAGTCCAAAAAGAAAAACGCTTCAACTTTCACATTCTGATCAATCAAAGATGCTTCAACTCCGTTAACAGTCACATAGACATTACACATAATTCTACACAGAAAAGCAACATTCACTCGGCCCTCATTGAGTATCTAGACCTTTTTATCTCTTTCTCATGAAAAACGGATGCAATGCCGAAATATACCTCAAATTGCGAACGACGTCCAGGTTTAAAAAAACAATTACTGTACTTCAATCAGTTCAACACTGCGACATAAGTTCTTTAAAAAAAATGTTCGCGTCTCCATGCACAAATATTTAAAACAGACACTCAAACTTCAAAAGGCAACTGTAATTTGACGAGAAGTAGGCTCGTTTGCAGTTTTACAAGTTTTTAAATGTTTCATAGAAAACTGACCTGACCTTGACCAACAGTATGGTGAAACCTTGTTGATTCCAAAAATACGTAGAAACCCAGAAACAACTCCCATAATTTTCTGATTTCGGATCTAAAATGAATACTGTACCTTGTGCTCGAGTTCATGCCGTAAAAGCACCTCCTCCGACGTGAACATAGCGCCACATTGTCGACACCCGCGTTTCGCGTCTCCACTCGCGTGCGACTTCTCGTGAATTTGCAGCATCGCCAAGTCTTCGAAACCCCGCGAGCAAATCTTACACTTGAACGGTTTTTCCCCCAAATGCCTCCTCACGTGACACACAAACAACTTGGGCTCAGGGAAGATTCGTTCACACAGCAAACACAGCCACGTGGCATCCACCTTTGAATATTTTCCAAACGTATATTCCCTTTCTACATTGGCTTGTTTCAAAGGGTCGTCCAGCTTCTGGAAAATGCTGCGCGGGCGTTTCGCAGCCATCTGGCCCGGCCTAGGTTTCTTCTCGGGACTACTCCGTTCTGATTGCTCACCATCGCTTTTCGATGCCTTGACCTGCTCTGGGGTTTTCGGAATTTGCTTGTGTTCGAGAATGTGTTCGGTGTAGGCAGCTTCATCCGTGAACAGCGCTTGGCAAACGTCACATTCAAGTTCGACGCGTTTCGGCTTCGGAGTGTTGTCCGCCTCCGTGGTGCGATGAAATTTCTCGAGATGCGAGATGAGCAACTCATTGCTCCTGTAATATTTGATCGGATTGCAAATCTTGCAGCCGAAGTCCTTCCTGACTAGATGGTAATCCCCTTTGTTTTTTATGGATTTGACCGGACGACGTTTCCGCGGTCCGTGAACCTGCAATTCCCACAGAACCGAATATAAAGTTTCAAGTCGTGACGCATTCTTTCAAAAGAGGCATCGATTTAACACTAGCGCCAAACAAAAGGAGGTAAGATGTGCGCTACACTTCGCAGTACAGAATAGTAAATCTGTTTGCTTCTTGTTTCAAGCAACTGTACATGAAAAAATCTACATTAACGTTAGTCATCGACTGCTGTACGACTATTTTCTCGAACAATCACTTGAACTACCAACATTTCCTTTCAAATTAAATAAGCAACGGATGAAATCTACACTTCTCGTGAAAAAAAAATTAGAATCATGTGCTTCGACATTCTACGAGTCAAAAAGAACGCGTGTAAAAATTTAATCTCGGCGAGAATAAGAACACTTTTCGACACATCATGTCTTCCTCATATCACAAGACGACTAAAATAAAGTGAATAAACGATGATGCATTTCGATATTTCGCAGAATTTCAACCACTCTAGTAAAAATGTTGTTTCAGCGAACACAACGACCGGGGGACTTCGTGACACTAACCTCGCGTCAGAACTAGGATGACGTACCTTACTTTAAAATAATCATGCCTCGAACCAAATGAAAATGACACTTCATAATAGCTCCAGAGAAAGAACCGTAACCCACACTAACCTTCAGATGTTCGGCATGTTTTTCGGGATCGGTGAACACGGAGGTGCAGTGCTGACATCGGATCTCACCGGGCTTCCAGTGAATGCGTTCATGTGCCACTCGATTACTAACATGAGAAAAGAATCTCGGACAAAACCGGCACTTGACCTGCTTAGTTTGCAAATGTGCGCGGAAATGACTCCGGATTCGCGCGGAAGAGTCAGCTTCTTTCCCGCACGTGTCACACCGATACAGCTTCTTCTTGCTGTCGTACGAAACAGTGAGTCCAGCGAGAGAGTCCACTTCAATCGGTTTCTTGGATTTCTTCGACGATTTGTTCACGGCCACCACCGGCGGAGGTGCTGCTGGTGCTGGCGATGTTGCACTACTACTGTCACTGTCTTTCCTCTCGCCACATACCTTCTCGTGCTCTCCGATTTTCTCTTCTTGTGACGAACCGAGACCGCAGTGTCGGCACAGGAAAGCGAACACGACTTGATGCGACTGCAGGAGATGCTTCGATAGTGCGACACTCGTGCTGAACGTTCCCTTGCATATCGAACAACTAAATGCAAAAAGGAAAGTATGACGACTTATTATAGATGCGCCAGCATTATTCTTCGCCGAAACGTAGAGATAGGCTATGGACCTAGAAGAACGTCTGACCGACTCATCCCGAATTTCATATTCAGCTATGGTTCCAAATATTTTCTCGGGAAAACTATCGAGGAATCCCAAAATCGAAACAAAGTTAGGCCAAAAATTTCACTTCGTCAACCCCCATCGATCCATGTTTGGCCCCTTGCAAATCGAATCGTGAGCATTCACGAAACAATGAGGGAAATGGAAGCACCAGCATAAGGTTCCCAAATTTTCGAATGAGATATTAAGGAGGTACAGCAAATGTGCTATGATATCCTGTCCAACTGCAACTTAATCAAATAGGAGGATAAAATCGTTATCACGCCATTGGTCAGGCGCCGGGGCAGCACCAGAAAATTTCCGGAGTTCTTCTATCACCTTATGACGCTTAATACATCATAGCAGCACATTATTCATGAGATACTAATCAACTTACAATTGGAAACGTTTCCCAAATGATAAAAACTTGGACGGCGTTAGCGCAAGTTGATGATACTCCGAAGGAAGTACTTCAGTTCATTGCGCGGAATTAGGTCTTTAAAATAACCTATTAATGCCTCAAACACGGAAAAAAAATTACGTCATTTCCCGAAGGAAAGATACTACCGTAGTGAGAAAATCTTACCCGAACATTCCAGTAATGCAATCATAGCAATTCATTGGATCCTCATGGAAGACTCTCTCTTCCGAAGGCAAATCTGGATCAGGCTTCCCGCGAGTAACAGCAACGCCTTTCAAAAGGTCCTTCACGCGCGCAGTCGACGTAACATTATGCTTGTCGATGATGTGGCATTCCAACAAAAGTATCGATGAAAAAGTGCTGGGACACATCGGACACTCGATTTCCGCATCATCGCATGTCTGATCGATCGTAACTTGGTCATCACCGTGAATCCGCGAAGATGGTTTCCGCTGATTCTGGGGTCCCGTCGATGAGGACGCATCGGACTGCGACTTTTGCGACGACGAAGCGTTCAGCAAACGTTGTCCACCTTCCGGACAAAGACCTTCGTTCAAATGCTTCGACACCAGCTCAATACTCAGGAATACCGCATTGCACCAACGACACCTGCATATATAAGCAATACTTCCCTGAACGGAGGAGTTGATCACTCGTGGATCGAAGGTACAGCAGAACTCCATTTATCCAAATACATAATTATCGAGTAGTTTTACAACCACCATCGTTACATGGGCAGCTGCAATTAATAGCAATCGCCATGAAATCGATAGAAAACAAAATAGACATTCGTCGATAATAATTACGAGATATGAACAAAATTACTGTACAGTATATACTTTTCCAACGTTTGCTCCTACTTCGAACACTTTTACATTATCATGATTTCTATCATTCAATGCTTGAGATTAACACGAATTGCCCAATCCAAAGTTTTGTTAGACTGAACATCTTCTGGCACGAATAATTCGAGCAAATATAGAGCTCAGCCGCGTTACAATTTTCCAAGTGAATAACTGCGTCTCCCGAAGTTCATGTTCGCGTATTCGTCATACCGGATTCGAATGAACACCTTGAGCAAGAACGTTCGGTATCCTTCGCGGTGAAATCCAGCAATTCTAACGTTGTGTTGTCTCAACTACCATTCGTCCTGCTTACCTTCGGTTAATCGAAATTGTACTGTAGTCGTAACGTACCGAAATCGCTGTTTTGCTCCTCCGCTTCGCTGCCAGCAGGGCGGCTTTTCGTCCAGATGGTTCAAAAAATCTCTTCGACCGGGAAAAACTCGCTGACAACCCGTGCATTTGTACTCGGTCATTTGTAAAGCAGCCGTAGGGGCCTTCGGGAAAATGACACGACCGGGATTTCGCCGGGAAAAATTGGAAATCGATTCCGGATTTATCATATTGTTAGTCACTGCTTGCTTTTCTGTAGACGTTCAGAGATAAATTTATCGGAATTTCACTCGATATTCAACATAAACACGAGGTACTGCACTATTCATACGCGTGTCGTACAAGAATCGATAACGTCCACGAACGCACCGACCGATACTAGTTTCGTGGATGAACGGATGTGAAATCAGTTGAACTTGTCGATGACGAAGCGTTCACCAGCGCTCACACTTTCTGAACACTTTTCACTTGTATGGAAACTCATCCACATCTGCCCACTGCGTCTCGATAATTGTGAAACCTCGGGGCTGTACGGTCTGTACCGGTTATCTGAAACAATATGGCGCCGAGCGGCGTCTGCGTCGATACAGAGAGAAATTCTTCCAGGTGTGCTTCGACATCCTGCGAATTCTTACCGACGTTTTGCAAATCTAGCCGACATTCTGCGCATCTGAGCGTGAGTTGATCAAAATTTTCTTTCGGAAAAAAATTCAATAAAGCTATGCGCTTTTCTTGATGGTCGAGCTTCGGGCGCTGTCCTTGACCGCATATGTCCCTTGCGAATCGTTCGACAGCTTGTTAACAAGTATTAAGAGACTGAAGTAAGCAAGAATACACAAAATCGATTTTTCGAAATTTCCGTTAAATTCCATCACTGTCAGCAGCTTGATATGGATAAATGACCTTGGATTCCCTCGAGACCCGATACGAAAATGACGAGAGGAAAGTCATCTCTTATTTTCAGAATAGTACGAATACTGTATGCATCGTACGTTATTTTTGAAATCGCTGCAACTGTGTGGGAATTACCATGTCAACACCAATCGGATTCGGATAAGGCTAGCGACATATATCGCAAATATTAACCGAACTTATGGAAGTGCCGCATAAACATCACGTGATATAGTGATCCGCCGTCCTGTTATGGTGGATTTGCCGTTCTTCTCATCATATGACCGACTCAGGATGTGCTGCAGAGTCGGTTCATAAAGAAATGTATCCATCATGCAGCAACAGTCAATCATGCATGAACCTATGTTGACGTATTCTCACTTTCTCATAAAACTGTGTGTTCCTTCTACAGTATAACATAAGAGCCATTTATTGTGACAGTATCTACATATGATAATCGAGCATTAATTCGTACGTCGCTGGTTATTATTTAAATTAAATCAACAACGTTGTGACAGCATTTGTAAATGTCCTACATGCATTGGTTTTTCTCCCACGAAGGTATACAGTGTTAGTGTGTTTGTAAAGCACACACTCACTTTTCAGGCATGGTTCATGATATTTTTATGATGCATCACGGGCCATGATTTTTGTATGAATAGCCATACAGCTATAGTTGACGATATGAACTCTTCAACAGAATTCGACGGATCAGAAAATACTGTAAATAATTGAAGAGAGAATTTTGTTGTAGACAAGATTGTTATGGAGAGAGTCGCCTGTACTGTATATATAGGACCTTTCCAGGGCTAAAAAAAGTCCAAGTTTGTTGATGCATATTGCCAGGGGGATAAAAAAAACGATTACTGTGATGCGTACGTACATACAGCAATCGCGAAGACCCATCAGCCCAGCTGCGTTCTATCTTCTCAAATTTATTTGAATATGATGCATATATTCCTGTGCACGGTGTTCACCTTAATCGCAATTATTTTTCTGAACTTGGTGCCCATCATGCGCCCCTCAGTGATGTATAAGCCTTTGCTCATGAAGAAGAATACGGCTTGCACTATATGATCATCGCTCTCAGCCGCGCGTCATCATCGCGACTTTCTTCGATATTGAAAGTTCAGATACATTTATGACGAGGAATGATCCTTCGGTCAGGAAAGACAGAGAACTTCATAAAAAGGTACCTGTGATAAACCAATTATACATACTGAAGTCCCTATAATTTCTGGGAGGAAGGCTGTTTCCTCCAACCCGAAAGTTTCTACAATTTTTCTTTCGACAGGCATCATATCCAGGATAGACAGCCTTCAATCATTTTTCCGGATTTTGGAGGCTGCATTTTTGAACTAGTTCAAAAGTAGGATTTTGTTAAAAAATTACGGTATACCTATTTTCAAAATGGACGTTACTTTCTAATATACAGCCAATTACATCAAAAATTTAGTTTACACGCTTAATCATCCTTCCGTTTCGATTCGAAGTCACGCAAAGCAAATTTACACCGTACTGTGTAAGTTTGCAAAGCAAACTTACACAGTACTGAACAGTACTACATAAATCGGTGATATTAATGTAGTCAATATACGATAAGTCATTTTCCGGGTCTCATCCTTCACGGGCGGTTCGCAAGTACACTGAATGAAGCGACCAAGCATGAAAAGAATACGTAATATATTCGAATGACTTTTGCAATTCACTCGGAGCCAAACCCGAAATGTTCACGGTGACCACCACCTTTTGCACGTAACCGGGGATTCGGAGCATCTCTCACGCATTACAAGCCTCGTCAAAGCAGTCAATCATCAGACCTCTCTGCTTTCAAGCCAAATCACATGCTAAAAAACATAAAATGAAAATTCGTGGACCTCGCAAAGAGTAACGCGAATGTAAGCTGGATTCAGAAAGCCCGTAACGGCGGATCCGAATGCCTTTAACGGGGACACACATACATAAAACACACGCAGTTTTTTTTTTGTTTTTCTTGTTGCTGCAGAAACACGATCAGGTCACTCGGAACAACGAACTTCAGGCAACCAGTATGTTTGTGTGGATCCTTCTTTTCAAATCGGACTATACTGACCCTCGTGGTACTCCAGGTTCGGACTGTTGAGCGATAAACTGGTGAGCCCTTCGAGTCCCGTGTCGAACGTCACTTCCGCCTGTTGGTTCAGCATGTTCTTTGAAACAAACAAAATCATGCTGGTCATTCAAAGCTTGACTCCAGTGATGATGCAATACACGAACAGAAAAAAATACTGTACAAATTCGCGAGTCGATTTTCCCGCAATATAGAATAGGACACCTTTTACACAGCCAAAAAAACAGGATAACGATCTGAAAACGATTTGCGTCAATTAATTTATAATTATTTTATAAAATTGTACTACAACTTCCTCTATTATATTTCAATTAAAAATGAGTTGAGCTTAAGAATCCTGTTTCAAACTCTTTTTCATGAATATTTCTTTTTTATACTGGATCTATATTGAGATTTTTTTTACGATAGATGTCATTCTTTTCAACAATTACCGGTGGACTCTCTTCCCAACGAAATTCAAGGGACCAAAAAAAATCGATGTAGAGAATTGTACTACAGTACATAGAAATCACCGTAGACAAGATTGTTGTAAAGAAGACCACCTGTGTTCTGCGGTTTACGAATGTTTTTTTTCTGAATTCATGAGACATGAAGTACATCTTGACAATTTCCTCCTGGCAGACATTATACTGAATAACTGTACCAAAATATGGTACACTCTTATACACAACACTTTCACCGCTTTTCCTCCATGATTTGGAATAATCTCGTCTTGTATAAAAGCAGGTGCCAGGTACGAAATGCCAAATCAACAAGCAAAGGATGACGGAAAAGAAAAACCAACCATTTCCACAGACACGAAACGCACCATCTGATTCGCAGCGTCCTCCAAGGGATCCAGATGAATATTCCCCACCAGCTCCGTGGAATTCAACTGGAGCTGTTCGCTGTCGGCCAATTGCATCTCCTGTACGTAGCCAACAGCCCCCTGCACCATGCTGTACTGACTAATCGGCACTTCCACAGTCTCCCCGCCATACGTGAGAATGGACTCGAGTATCTGATCAAGGGACTCAGTGCCGGTGCTGACGACGGCAGCAGCAGAAGCGGAGGCGGTGGCGCCCGTCGTCCTCGACACGGCGCCAGGAGAATCTTCGGGGCGAGGCGAGAGCACGAATTGCGCGCCGCGTGATCCGATGGCGCCCAATGGCGTCCCGTCCGGCAGAGATATGAATGCTGTCGGAGGGTCCATGTGCCGACTCATGTCCATGACTTCGCCGCCGCAAAGGAGAGGAGTGGTGAAGACGGTCGTGGGGATGATGGGGAGATTCTCTGCTTTCACCGACGCGTTCGCACCTTTGTCGCCTTCAAATCGGAAATCCAAGGCGAAGGAAAAATCAATTCAACGCACTTGATGATCGGTGAACATATTTTACGGAAGACAGACAGTGGGATGCGAAACAGTTTTTTTTTTTTAGTTTGGTTAAAACAGGAGAACGTACAGTATTCAATCAAGTTCAAGCCACACCTTAATTTAGTCGTCCCTTCCAGTGAGAAAACCGTGTAGGTTGCAAAAAATGTTGGCACTCTCAGAGAAAAAAAATTCTGCCTCTACAAAAAAAAAATGCCGTATTTGCTCGAATACCTTGCGGACAACTTCGCACCTTCATTTCTGAGGTGCAACAATAACTAGGTAAAACCTTATCCCTGCATAAAACACGCACAAATATTTTCCATGGAAATGAGTAGAACTTATAAACGACAACAGCTAAAATTATAAATTTAGACTCAAAGAAAAGGAGACTTGAATTACATTTGATGCGCTTTGACTTTCATAAATTATCGGTGATGAAATCCGAGGATAGTTCAGCCCAAGAGTCTTGAAACATTCGCAGGAAAACTTAGTATTCAAGCATAATTCGCACCCCAATTTTTTTTTTTTCAAAAAATTCTGAAAAGAGGTCCTGGAGTTCAGTCTGTGAACTAGTGTATTATGCAGCAGGTTTTACCATTTCTACAAATTATATGAATCAGCAAGTTACGAACAAAATGACGCGGCTTGCCTCCGATTTTTCACCTAATAATTCTTCATTTAACGGTCGGGTTCCATACAAAGAAAATACTATAAAACAATTTTTTTTTAATGGATGCTCAAATGATCAGTAAAGAAATTGTCTTTTTTTGCCTAAACAAACTTTCATTCTTTGTTACAGTTGAACTTCAATAACTCAAATATCCGTAAGTCAAATACCTGATCATGTGGAATTTTTCTCAAGTTCCTCATGCATGAATTCTCTTTGTAACAATTTATCAATAAGATTCCTAACTTGAAGGTTTCCCCCCTCAAACTACAGTATATAACTCTAATTTTCCAGAGGCATTTTGTCCATTATTTTTGTGACACAGGATAGCAAAGCAATAGAATGTAACTTGATGTGTTTTGAAGGATGTGAAGGAATAATTAGGCAAATGAACCCTTGTTTTCAAGTTCAGCATCCTGTCAACATCTTCAGACAATTTTGGGTAACAAGAAAAAATAATTTGAATTTCCTTCAAATTTTTTCAAAGGCAAAATTGTAGTTTCAACTCAAACCTCCCCAAGTTTAATTTTTTTGCTTGTAATGAACAGATTCAACTGAATACTCTTGGGTTAACCTTGGACCATACAATTTTACTGAAATTCTCAGCCCATCAAAAGAAAATTCAGTGCTGCGTTCGAAGACACTCATCACCTTGAGTATTCAATCCAAAATCAACTTTGTGTAACAAATGCAAGATTTAAAATCAATTGTGTGTTTTTATAATTTGTTGACCCTTCAAAAGAAGGGGAAATTCTAGAGTACTCTCTGTATTATGCTACCATTTCAATTCAAAATTGTCACAGTGCGGCCAATAGTGCGTAAATTCGGGAAATTTAATTTTATCCAATTTAGGACCCACACAAACTCAACACCTACTGCCAGAAGTACAATCGTGAATAAAATATAAAAACAGGCAATTTCTGTGAGAAAAACGATTTGAAAATACTTCAAACTTTGGCACGCATCTGATACACTTTTTCAGAAAAAATTAGTTTTTAATTTTTCATAAAAGAATGAAAACTATGGATAACACAGGACTCAAATGATACTCAGACGAAATATCTTCTTTCCAAAAAAGAGTGGACATTTAAGCCAGTGTTCCCCAACCTTTTTTACTCAAGGCCCAGCACATTTTAATAAAATATTTTGCAGACTGGCAAATTGTCAAAAAATTTTCTGGGGACCAGCAAAGTTCCATATAATTTTTGAAGACCAGGGAATTTTTTCAAATACCTGTCATTAAAGTCCTCAAAACAAACTTGCATTGAAAAAATCAAGTAAAGAACCAATGAGAAGCTATATATTGGAATGACTTGAAAAAAATCTGAGAAAAAAATATACATATATACATATATATATATATAGGTAATTTCGACTGCCATTTTCCACAAATTTTGTATAACTAACAATAACAGGCTTCATTACTACCTTCAAATAAATGCATCATGAAGAAATTTTCCTGCGGACCAGCGCCAGTCCGCAGACCACGGGTTGGGGAACACAGTTAAACTGCTTGCAAATTTGATACGTTGAAAATTAATTTTAAAATCGTTTTTGTGTTATACACGGCATACCATAATTACTTCTGTCATAACGCAGTTCATCAATATAGATGAGACAACGGTAATTTTCTGGTAATACCTGATGTGCGATTTGGATTACGATAACATTGCTACCGTCAGGCAAAAAAAATCGTTTTAAGCAAAAATTCGCCTTGACAAAATTCTACAGTTGATTTAATGTTTAAATTTCCCCATCACGGGGATTTGTGAATCAAATTTTGGTTTGTTAACTGGAGGGGTTTTTGCCAGCAAGCAGAATTTGGTTGACTCATAAAAAATTATTCAATCATGGGTTTTTTGCTTGTTTTCTGAACGCACCAACAGTTATATAAACAGCGTACGAATGACAACTGCGCAACATTGTTTATCCGCCATTTACCTTTCCCTTTCGGTTTCCTGCGAGCAGCTTGAAGCACCTGCCGACTACTGGATGTCGCTCCAACTCCATCTAAAGGGTCACCCATGGCTACCCCAAACAAATTCTTCCCCATCTGCAACCGCTCCAATTGTTCTCCTGCGTGTGATATACGTATTCAGCGAAAGTAACAAAAGAAATTCCGTCCAGAAAGGCGAGATGTGATGACTATGAAAGCACCGTCTATTGTAGTGGAGCATTACGGGGCACGAAGCAGCAGTGAAGCGTTCGGAAAAATTAGTTGCATACGCGGGAAAAATGTCTTCAAAAGACAAGTGTCACTGATGGTTCATCATTTTACAAAACCTTTAGCGTTTCGTTTGTTCAAAACGCAAATTACGCCATTTGTGGAGATAAATCCTAACAAAACCTACATCGAAATATTCTAGGACACGGGTGCGTTATTTCTAACACATTTTTTCAACAAAAAAGCGCAAATAGCAAGAGTCTAGATTAGTTCATTATGGAATACATCACGACAATCAAATTCAAAATATTATTCCTTCATTGTTTTAGAAAAGACATTAGGCACATGGAAGTCATAATCTAAGCAATAGCATGGCCAATAATTGCGCATGAAAAGAAAGCGGGATGTAAGCTGATGCTATCAAGTACAGTATATTTACAATACAGATCCTTGATACGTAACAGTGATGAACAAAAATATAGTCCGAATTGAAAACTTCAATGCTTGCAGCCATTTCAAAACCAATTGTATGTCGTAGAAATAAAATACTGTTTATCCTTGAATATGGTTCATAATTCGACAAAATTTTGAATCCTTTCTGAATTCGAAAACGTCCCATTATTACGCGTTTCTTGTCGCTAGCATCATACTTCGGGAGCATTGTGACTGACTGAGTTCAGCTTGGAATTAACTCCAGAGAACTCATCATGGATGACACATAAAACAGACAAATGGATGAAGGGTGAAATAAATCAGCTTCTTAAAAAAAACTCCAAGATCACGTTTCTCCGAAATCGTTCTTCCGGAGAGTGATACGAAAAAAACTCAAGTAGTTCATCCTGCGTAACTAATACTGTACACTTCAAACTGCCCTGACTTCAATTTGAACCAGTATTCAATCAAGAGTGTATTTCAATTTCAAATTTATGCGAGCAGAACAAGCAACCCATTCAGTTCATTAAATCAAATCGTGATGCTTCAATTCCCCTAGTAAACTGATCATTCGGATTTAACATGTTTACCCAAGTACCACGCACACCAGTTTGTTCCATTCAAGAAATTTTTATTAAATTGAATTCCTAGGTAAGACGCGTACCTTTTTTCAGTTTCACTCAACTGCATTATTTTAAAAATAAGAAAACCCAATTTGAATTCGGACATGAATTCAACTAATTCTCAATCTCCATTCAAAAAATATTTTTCTCTTAAAATTGGTCCAAAATGTCCCATTAAAATCAAATACAATGCACAAATAATTTTGTAAGACTTTCAATTTTTTGAGACAAAAAGGTGCGCGTGGTACCCGAGTAAAAATGGGAACTAATTTAAATTTGCTAAAATCTCAGTAATATAATTTCAGGTCATCTCGAACAGCTTTCCGTTGAAATTAATGGACACAAGATGACACGAGTATCCAGTCAAGAGGACCCAGTCACCCAAATAATCTTAATTCCTCGTGAGAATCTGGATTCGTCTCAATGTAACCAGAAAAAAAAAATCGCAATTCAACTTTTTCTTTGCAATAATCACCCACAGAACCAACCCAAGTACAGTAATAAAACAACGTGCTAAAAAATAATAATAAAGCAGAGCCCGAACCTCCAGGAATGAAGACAAAAAAACCACAAGAGCACGGCACCAAGAAGTTTGTATTCTGGATTGATTCACGACGAGGAAGCAATTACGATTGTTTCCTTTCCTTACGTCGCTATTAACCAACGCCACCAACATTAGGAATTTTTTTTTCATGCAGAGCAGAAAAAAAAGAGAGACAAGCGCGAAAGATCAGAGCGAGGAGATATGAACGAAAAATATCGCGGCAAACGAAACTCACGACTCTTAGTCTCGTCGGCGGCCAAGAAATTCCGCAGATTTTCCGACTGCGTGTGCTTTTTTCGCTTCGCAAAAACAGGATCATCTGTACGAACACAAGTGCACGTGAAAAACCACGAATATGGCATTCAAACAAAGAAGGAGAAGACCGTGACAACCCCGGGGCACATGAAAATCCAGAAAAGCTAACAGCGACCAACAAAAAAAAAACGAAACCCGGAAATATCTCAATAAGTTTACGCACGAAGCTAACAACAATCTCAACACGTAGTACAGCAAACATACGATTCTCTCTCTCTTTCTCGAGACGTTAATAGGCGAGGAACGCCGGAATGCTGACCGCACGTTCAGAAAGCTCTCCATCCGATCAGGGAACTCAGAATTCGGTCACTCTCTTCACCCTCGTCGTCTCAAGAAGTCCTCAGAATATACACGATTCCTAAAACTGCCTTTTGCAATCAACAAAATGACCTTCCTGGCAAACACACCATTCTGAACCATCCCCAATAAATCCCGACTAGACGCAGGAAAAACAGCGATATTATGCACTACCCGGCAAAAAGAAATCCTTCACTCACACGAAGCGTAGTCTTCGTTTCGTCACGGGGAAAAAATAAACAGCCTCACTCCGAAGAAACACTCGACTGCGTTTCCTGAATTATAGGACTCGATATTAAAAGCTACGAATACTGTCGAAAAAAAGGTTTCAGTTACTCCACATGTCCACATTCTACTGCCACGCACCGATTCTCTCGAAGTAACACGCTAAATCTGCCCACGTTCGGATAATAATTTCACAACTGGAAATTTCAACACCCATCAATGGATGAAATTGTCCGAAAAACAATCTCGCAGCCCATAACGCAAGATTCAATTCCATGCCAAAGAAAACAAATGGTTCCATACGATGCAACGGTTTCACGGATGAATTACGACGACGAAGGAAAACGTTTGGTATCATGGAGAACGTTTCCAGGATCATTTTGGGGAATAAGAACGAATAAATTTGTGCAAGTAAATGTTGGATTGCTGAAACATGTAAAAGAGAGTGTTAAATATGGATTTTTTTAAACAGTTGAATTAAATCGCGTGGATAACTCTAGTTCAGAGGCGAAATAAAAATATTTTCAGATCAGAAATATAAAACATTGGTTCTGTAATTAGTTTGTGGTCAGTCACTTCAGTTACTTACTTGTTCAGTCGTCTTCTCATTCTTTTTCCGAACGCGAAACTCAAAATGTTGAAAACTGGGGTAGCAAAATCAAGTAAATACGAAACGCAAAAATGCAACTTTTCTTTAGATATTTCCAGAGCTTGAACATTTGTGAACCAGATTTCAAGTGATTAGAGCACGCATTTTTGTCCTTGGTCGTCTCGAACGGATTCATAGGGAAAACCTAAATAATTGCACAAACTTGACAGAAAATGCATCGTATCCATGAACATGACTGGTTCTCCTCATCCTCTGGCGAAGTTTAAATTCAAACATACACATGTCACGCAAAATTAGGTATTCCTCAAAATCAATCGGATGGAGAACCATTTTTCATGATTTGGAGACATCGACATTCCTAACCAATCAATGAACTGGTTTTGGTAGAATGTATCCAGACATTTGCCAGAGGTCATCTTGGTCACTGCAACCAACTGTCCTCACATGATCCATTCATTCCAAAACTCCATAAAAGCGCAAAACAAGTACAATCACATCCAGGGATGGCAAAGCTTTAAAGTTTCACTTTGTTTGAATTGTTTCCACTGACAAGATCTGGAAAGTGATCTAGCCACGCACCGTTCGTCACAAACAAAATTTTCAACCGATCTCATAATGCGAACAAATGCCCAACCTCTCCAGAACACCGGAAACGATCAGCAATCACTGATCTCCCGCATGGCTGCTGAGAACCTTTCCTCTATGCAAAAACGCAAAAACAATACCCAACTCTCTTATGACATGAAAACATTTTTGGAATGAGGTCAAAAAACATGGCAGTACATGGATTTCCGAGTAAATACGATCCGATTAGTTACCGTCAAATGACGTTGCTCTTGAGCTACACCGATCGCCGCATGGAACAGGGCGACTACGAAATCTTACCATTCAATCACAATCTTCAGAGGGAAGATCATACGCACAACTCAGGAAGTTGGTGACCAGATCCATCACAAAAAGAGGGAACAAAAATGCGTAAAAAATTAAAGCTTCTCTCGTTGAGATTAAGATCAAGTGGTGCTGAGGACTAGATCAAAACAGGATTTGCAGATCGACTGGAATTCATCAAATATCACACCTCACTTTCCACTATCAGTTGCCAAGAAGATTCCTACTCTCTCTACCCTGCATGCTCCAAAAATATCTCACTCCAAGACAACAGATCATCTACCACTAATTGACACAAATAGAATCCAAAAGATTTGCCGATGACTCTCCTCAGTGAACGTCACGACAGAAATTCAACGTTTTACACACACACAAAAAAACTACGTAAAGTACAAGAGTTTGCACATACTTGGAGAGCATCCTCCATCAAGAAACTTCACGTTATTTTTTTTCTTCATCCACTTCGGCCAATGAAATTTGCCTTGCCACTCAAATCCTTGCAATAAACAGTCATGCCAAAGCGAGAAGACTCAAATGAGTGGATGGAGGTTACTTTCCAAATAACTTACCCCCAGAAACTCTGACCTAACCAGGAAACACCAAATCATTCGGAAGGAGTACGTCTTTTGAAAAGTGGGCTCAGGAAGGAATAAATTATAATTGAAGAGCAATTACCAGAAGAACAAGTCTTAAAGGAACCGCATAGAACAATATTTGGTTTGAAAAACCGAGGATAAGATCCACAGAGAAAACAATTCTGCGAGCCGTTCTTTTATCTTTGTCACACTCTTCCCAACTTGCCCTATTCCTTCGCTGATTTCAATATTTTCAGGACCATGTATCTGTTACCTTTGTTCATACAGAAATGGATGTACTGCTGTCCAAAGAATATGGAAAATCTGATAACATTTTTCCTTTTTGAATCTCAACTTTTCTTCGGGGTTTCACATAAACTTCGTTCTTTTGATACTTGCTCATCTGATATTTGCTCTTTCGTGCACGCTCTTCCGAAGAGCATCCGGATGAAGAGACCAGTTAAGAAACTATTAATTAGTATAATACTATCAAAGCTACTATTAGTTTAAATACTCCTACAGTATTTAAATTAATAGTAGCTTCGATGAAAGGGGCACATACTTCGAATAAATCGGAAAGGAAGGAATTGGCAAGACAAGATTACCAAAATAATGTTACGGAATCAAACAAATAGATCGAGAACCGGCAAAGGAATGTAATCTGGATCATCAACGTACAGTGGAGAGCATGCAGGGCCGATTTTGAGAGTAGCTTCGAGATTATTCTCATTTTTGTCCGGCGTAACACTACCCAAATTATTGCCGGGCGTCTCGCTGTCCGCCCTACCCCAATCATTGGTATTAGAGTCCCCGCTGACTTCGTCCATTTTCGCGTACAATGACAACGCATCGAGATCATCAAGCTCAGACATAGTCGCAAGCGGAGGAGAACCTTCGTACAAAGCTGCCTTTTCGTGGAGATCAGACTCGAATTCAGTCACCTCGCTCAAGTGATCGTAATTCGAGGAAATCGCGAACGTGGGGTCGACAGAGTCTGGGAAGAAATTCCCGTTCAGTTCCGGGGTGCCGAACGACGTAGTCTGGGTTTTCTGAGTTTTCTTCCGCTTCGGCGGAACCGGAGGTGGACTCAATCCGTTTGAGTTCGACCCAGCCTCGTCAACATTAGTGGAAGCATCGACCGTTTCTTTGAAGACATTCGGAAGGTAATTCCCGTTTTGCATGTTTTCCGCCTCCGCGCGCACACTCGCACTTATCGCGTGCTTCGACAGATTCAGCTTCGCGTCTTTCGCGTACGCTTTCAAAGTTTCGAAATACCCCAACATAACGTGCGATTTCTCTTCTACGAGCATTCCGGGAGCACTCATTTCTATCCAGTTATCATTTCCCTCGTCCGTGGTAATGGACATGGTTGTCTGCGAAGCTTTGGAAACGCGGATCCGCATTTTGGATTCATCGCGGATGTTCGTGAGCAAAGCACCCGAATCGGCCGCAAGAATGTGACGGAAGGAGTCGTATGAAGCTTTCGAATTCTTCTGCGACCATACGGAATTCGCCGTACCTGGGTCCAAAGGATGGTACTCGAAAGCACGTGGAGCACTCGTCGCTTTGTCGCTTGGGCGCATCAGCTGAATCCGACACTTGACTACGTCAGTCACCTTCAAATAAGAAAAAAATCGATAGCTTCGTAGCTCGTCTTGGTATTCGTTTAACATAATTTTGCAAACATCAGAATGATTTCAGAGGAGTTTTTCAATTCTTCAACGGATTCTGATACGGTACACCTTCCTCTGCTTCCTTCAGATCAAATTGAACAGGTTACATAGCACAGGTGGATGTTACTTGAAAAATACTCTACATTCAAGAAGTGGATCAACGAATATCCATATTTATACGAATTGAAGTTTGTTCAGGTAAACGCGCGTTTCAAATAAAATAGGTCACCACAATTTCAGAATTGCTGGCATTCTCAACTGGGCAGTTAAAATGGACTCCCTCTCAAAAATTCGCAAAACACTCCGTACAAAACATAATTCGCAAAAACCATGCACCACCAGTCCCAGTATGGTATCAATTCAGCGCGGAAAAAAAAAAGGAATTCGGAAACTTTCGAGACAAGGTTTCGAACTTCATAAAGCTAGGTCTGTCAAGATTTACGTTTGAAATTATTTAAAAGGGAACGAGAACAGCGGTGTTAGTATTTAAGACTTATCTCTATCGAAATCTTGGGGCTGAATTTTAATCCTTCGTCGATTGGATTCATCGCACTTTCACGCAAGATCAGTACATTCACAACTGTACGAAGTATTCACTAAATGCGGTACTCGGTTGGTAGGAGTTCGAATATTCCGAGTTAGACTATCTGAGCTTCCTCGTGAGGTCATTTAACATTACTGCATAGTTGTAAGCCCTGCAGTTTTCTCGCCTTCATTAACAGAAATGGATCGAACGTTACTCATCAGAAAATGGAAGCGAAGATTCTCCAATGAAATATTTCGCGCAGGCATCAGTGAATTGAAACTTACGTCAAGCGTGCGATACCGAGGAGTGCGGAGGCAGATGGCGACTTGCTTGTGGACATCCGACGGTTGAAACTTGCCGAAGTCTTCCCACGTTACTTCTCCTTGCGGAGACTCCTCGTAGAATCGGACGGATATATTCTCTTTCGCCACTTTCTCACACAGAAGAATTACTTCACGTCCACCAGCAACAGTGTCGTTACAGTGAGACATCTTACAAATGTTCAGATCGCTTACTGCTTTCCGGTCGTAGATCGGCTCCGAAACGACAGGCTTTAGGGGGACTACATACTTATTCTTCTGTTCTCCTTCTATAAACACTTGGAAGCAGAGACGAAGAGAGTTCAAATCGATTGAGTTTGGCTGATGCTTATGATCAAATCCAGCTGGAAAAAAAAAAAAAAAAAAAAACAGAATTAGACATACACTTCAACACGAATGTACGATACCAGGGAATTACTTTGAAAGGGATCGACTTTAATCTGCTGTCTTTGATCAAGGGCTTCAGCTATGTCGCGCTTCCGAACACATTGAATACCCAAGTTCTGAAACTGGCATTTCATTGTATTTGGGTCGATGTACATCGTACACACGCCTTTGTCGCAACCTTCACGTCCGACTAGGTTGTGAGGATGAGGCCGAAAAGGAGGATCTTTCGTGACACAGGACACAACAACCACAGCAGGACCATGATAACCCATGACCTAAATGTCGGCGAAAGAAAAGTGTAAATGCATGCTGAACACATGAAAAAAAAATTAATTGATGATCATTTCGCCAACCTGAATCGTGGGGTGTGTTTTGTATGTACCGTGCGTTCGTTCACCGGGAAGACTTCCGGCGGACCTTCCTTCGCATATGTATCGGAATCTCAACGCCTTCGAAGCAGGTTGCTCCAGGAGAACGACATATGGCTGATTGAAAAATGAGTGAGAACAGTACAAATGAACTTCCGCAGTTTCACTCCCTCTAAATTTTCCGAGTACACACCTCTTTCTTCGCATCACCGTCGCACCGAGCAACCGGATTCGGAGAAAAAGCCTCGTCTTTTATATCAGCACTCATTTTTGGACAATGCGCATGATGTTCTACCTCCAGAGAAGTTCAGACGAAGGAAGAGCAATAGAGTTTACGCGTGGTTGATCGAGCGATTCCGCAGATATGAATCACCGCATGCAATTCGCGCTGCCGCCAAAAGGCGAACTCTTTAAATGCCATACAGTAAGGAAGTCACGCACGACGCGGTTAACGAACACATTACATTCGTATCTCATACGAACAGCTCCGTTTCTTATATGCTCGCTCACCAACAAAAATTATGCTTGACAGTTCTAAATATCGTGATTCAGATATTCAGCAAACCACTTCGTTAAGTTATTTTTTTTCTTGCAACATTGCACTCCGCTGAGCCAAGCGCGCATGGGCTACATTAGTGAGACATTCGCGGCAGACACCTGTACGTTTCGTGGTGGTACAAACTGTGGTTCACGCGTTGTTGCAGAAAATGACGCACCGTAAGATGGCAAATATTGAAGAACTTCGTGCAGCACTGGATATAAAAAAGTTATTACTCTCATGCAACTTGCGTCTGTGTGTTTCAACTCATCACCAAGATTAAATTACAGTACTGTACTCGTAAAGAGAATTTGTGCAGTGCATTGCAATGGGTTTCGGAAGCTAAAAATGTTTTTGTAGATGTTTCGAGCGGATACCACAAGTACCGTACTCTACTTAGACCAGCCACAAAAACGAACTTAAAGTTAGTAAACGGAGATATAACGGCACTTTCATTGTTTTCTTCGTGAAGAAAGAGCCGGTAAGAGCAAAGCAAGTGCTGTACACAGGGAGGTAAGTAAAACAAAACAAAAAAACTAAGTTTTTTCGATTCAGAAGTATTTCATGAAGCATTTCCGGTTTCAATCGACATGAAATCAATCACTCGGGATTATCAGACTTATGATAACCCGATATTTCCTCCTTTAAGTTGATAAGAGAACGGATAAAATGTGATTAAATTATCTGCACAAGCGTGTAGATACAGAACTGTATATACAGTATACGCGCTTGAGTATGCATATGTAAACTGAAGTTTTCAGGGAAGAGCGGAAATAATTTATGCTATGGCCAGTACATAAAAACAATAATTTGTCTGTAAGAAAAACAATTCCTGTAACGGCCGAAGCGATCATATTCTGTCTTCGAAGGCGCTACTTCTAAATTGATGGTCTACTTTTTTTTTCAAGACCTACACAGCGTTTCTTACCTGATGTGCAAAATTATGCTGTTCACGGAGTACTGCCCAGATAATCATACTTGGTGGCACACAGTAACCTCAGCTTGCATTCTGGACAAAGAGGCACAAGGTTTTTTTTTCTCCATCTCTTAAGCAAACAAAAAGGATAACTCAATATGCTCTTCTTCAAATTGTATCCTCTTCAATGGTAATTCCTTCCGAACGACAGAAAAAATGGGCATCAAAATCCGCAATTTCTACTCTGATTGAAAATATCACGAAAAGGATGAAACCATTGAACAATTGATCAATGATATCCTGTAACTCCAACCTAGTAAAATAATCAGATACAGGGGGCCCCCAGCAAAGACCCATGCAAAGCAAAATTTGAAGTCTTATATTTTGCAGGGGAACGTGACTTGCACATTATTGCATTGCTTCACGCAACACAATTTGTGAACCAAAAATGTACAAATTCATCAAATTGTAGGCCTCAATTTGGTAATTTTTCAAAGAATCAAGAATGCAAAGAGAAAGGAATGTCTACGCGTTCTCTTGTTAATGAAAATTGAGAAATTAAGAAAGTTGAGCGCGCAACCTCAGCAGGATTGCCTAAATTTATTACCAATTTACGCTAAGATTACAATCTTGTACTTTGAAAATTTTACAGGATTATCATTGTCCTTTCATGTTTTCAATATGTTGATTTATCCTGAAGGGAAAATCCATTTTGCATCACAGAAGTGCTGAATAACAAACTGTATTCTGGAACCATTTCGTTACGCACTGACCCGCTGTCTTCACTTATGAAGTAGTTCTGTAAATTTCGATGTAGCGATGAAAAAGTAACCTTTTCGTGCAGTTCAATGGTTTAGACGTAGACCTAATGCGAGAGCACCAAATAATATTCCTTTATAAGTCCAACTAAGCTCCTCAAAGTATATTCAGCGTTTTCTTCTCTATGTTTCTCCGCAGTTCAACTTCTGATCACGTGTAAATGACGTTGCAACAAGTCACGTCCCCGAAATCATTTTATTCAACTTCACACCGAACAATTTAAGATTCCATTTGCTCAGCGGTGTATTTTCCCTTCTCCTTTCCAAGAGCTGCGGCACGGCCCTTTGCTTTACGATCAATGATGCGCTTGCGGTCCTTGTCGAGCTTCAGCTTCACAATGGTCACCTTGGAGGGGTGGATAGGGACGAATACACTGGCACCGTTGGCCTTCTCTCGCTGGATACGCTCGATGTAAATCGCGAATTTTTTGCGGTAGACCTGAAAAGCATTCATGACAATTACGAGCGAAGGTACACAAGGGACGCTAAGGGTGTGTTGCGGCTCGCGCTCTCGTCGAAGCAAAGGTTCGAGAGTGTAGGTTCTCAATAATTATAACGTATCATCCTAGCGTCAAAGACCGAGAAAAACAAGTGCTTAAAAAATACCAAGAACTTCTTATCGACATAACTTTTCAACACAATAACACATAATTCCTGCGAGCGCATGAAATCATGCAAAACAGTCGACGCCATAAACATTGCCTAAATTGATTTAGATTTGGACACACTCTAGTTCATAACAAAGTCGTTCCAACATATACCGACGTAGCAGAAGAATCTTCATGTGAAGTCGACGGTTACGATTTAAACAAACGCGGCCAAGTAATTCAATCCTACAGACTGTAATCACAGCTCTTCCATATCGAATACATTGACGTGAATACAAGCAACGGAAAAACACGGACCTGCACAACTTTTCCGACTTGCTGTCCCTTGTGATGACCTCGAACAACCTGAACTTCGTCGTCCTTCCGGATGGGTATGCTCCTGATATTGTACTTCTGGCGGAGCTCTTTGCTCAATGGGGAGCTCATGATCTTGCGTCGTTCGTGACTCGGTGCGTTGAAATGGGCTTTCCGCATCTTGCGACGGGAACTGGTCTTATAAACGTTCATCTTCATAGCTAAAGATGTTTATAAATGGCTTTATTAAGATGTATATTAAAGACCTGTCGAGAAAAGAGAAAAATGCATCAAATACGCCGAAGATCCTGGAATATCAGGATACTGCTTTTCTTAAGTGAACCATCAATAAAGACAGGATTACGCTTAAGGAGCAACACCTGAAAGCAATGATTCGCAATATTCTACGTATTGTCGAACGGGAACGCAGCAAGATTCGAAAAACGAAATGTGAGAGGAATTTGAAAACTGGTCGGTTCGAAAATTAACGCCGATCTCATAGAACCGTTACAATTTAGATGCTTGAACACAAGCCGGCCAACAAATTCATCATTAGAAACGTTTCCCACGGAAAAAAATATCGTCAACGTAGTCCACGGTCGTATTTCTACCATAAAGGTGTGACATCCAACATTAATTCACGGATAAGTTTCTCAAATCACCGCTAACAACACGATCATATCAATGCATTAATTCTTTCGATTAGCGATTTTCAACAGGGACGGAGTTCGCGTAACGACGGTGGAACACGACTGACGCTTCAAAGATCGTGGCCATTTCTACGTGGGCTACAGTTTACAGTATATAAACGCAAAGAGCTTCAACTACGGTGGCACTATGATAACTCAGAAGACTGTTGGACATACTATGAACTTTGCAGTACAGTAAAATCCAAAAAATCTACAATTAAAATTCATCCCGGTTGATGGTACCTTTTCAAAAATTAATTCCCTCAATTTTTGAAAATTCACAGTTTTATCTTGCTAAAATTTGAAACAAAATTGTTGATACTGCACTTGAAAATTTTTCAATAAGCTTCATTAATTGCCCCGAACAGTGTTTTGAAACTAGCACTGCAACCATTAGCAGAATTTTTTTTGCACCACCCCCAAATTGTTGTTAAAAAACCATTATGAATATTTATATGGGTTGTACATATAAAGTGTATCTGATTTTAGAAGAAATGTACACTTTTCTCTCAAATCTTGTCAAAAGAGAATTTTGGAATATAAATATTGTACATGCAGTATACAAAGGTGTTTTCTGTTGCAACAATAATTCATCTTGTGAATGGCATAAATAAATAAAAAATGATAACTACCTATATACTGTACATCAGTATAAACAGAAGCAGCTAAATATTTGGGAAATTTTGAGATTTCTTCCAGTTAATCTATACAATAAAAGGTATGGTATTACTATACTGTATATGTACTAAAATACTATACAGTATATATATGTACTAACATACTATATATATATATATATATATATATATATATATATATCCCTAAATTATAAAGGAATTCCGCGCCCACAAAAATCAACTCACAACTTCTGCTCATCCATGCAGAAGCTCGTGAAATCCTTCCTATATGCACCTTTGAGCTTATGTACTGTATTCCTGCAATAAGTACAATGCAATTGAACTTCTCAAGTTAACCTCCCTATAACTCAAATTTTTTTAAATTCCATGTCTGAATTCCCTTATAGAAACAATGCAATAAATACCAACCTAACTGGAAGTCTTTTTCTCCCAAACCTCTGCTTATAAGTCAAATTCTCAGAGGCCCTCTTATTACTATTTCTTTGAAATATATGAAAGAGAAAATCAATTAACCAAATGATTTGTTTATGCATTTTGAAACAAAGTTAAAGAATAATAAAGCAAATGAACCCCTTTTTCCAAGTTTAGCAAGTGGTAATCTCATTAATAATAAGCAAGTTTATGCCCAGAATATCATGATTTAAAATATCCTGCAATTTTCTTATTTATCCTTGCATAAAAAATGATTGTTTCCTTGACTTCATCATCAAACCTTCTTATATAAGTCAATTTTTTTCCTGGTCCCTAAAAATTTGACTTAGACAAGAGGTTCAAGTGTAATCTGAATACAGTACAATATAGAAAAAAGTATATCTTATAAAGATGTCAACAGTCAATCATGGCAATCAATATAAGCCCTAAATTTTCAGAATCAAAAATTCTTCGGCATTTATATATAGTAGGAGGTTAAAATTTGTCAATTGTGTTGAGTTTCCCAAGCCTTTCCAAAGGTAAACCTCAAAAACGCATATGCATTCAAGCAGTGAATTTCTGATTCAGAATCATTCTACATGAAAGAAGTTCATTTTATGAGTCTCTTTATCATAGAAAAAAAGGGTGTCACGGAACGGAT